CCGTGAAGATGGAAGGAGACGATGCCTTCACGTTGACCCTACGCCAGCTGGACACATTTTTTATCCCACGAGTGAATGCCATTGTCGAACGCTTTTCATTTCGACAACGAGCGCAGCTGCCGCAGGAGTCTACCGCAGAGTATGTATCAGTGTTGCGAGGTCTGGCAGTAAACTGTAAGTTTGGCAGTATGACTGATGATATGATCCGCGACATGGTGGTGGAAAAGACGATCCACCCACGCCTGCGAGAGAAGTTGCTCCAAGATGCAGAGCTCACGTTGGACAGGACGCTCGCTACAGCCGACGCATATGAGAGGGCCCTCCGTGAATCGGCAGTAATGGCGGGCCAGCAATCTTCTGCTCCAGTCGTCGCCAAGGTGTCCCACCCTCGTCAACCGAAGAAAGTCAAGGCACACAGCGGACTGCCTGAACGTCAGGCCCCATGTACCAACTGTGGTAGATCGTCACATCGAACCGGCTCCAAGGACTGTCCGGCTCGAGGTCGCAGCTGCAGCTCGTGCGGCCTGCGGGGGCACTTCGCTGCAGTCTGCAGGTCAAGCGCCTCCGCTTCAACCGCAGCTGCCGCCCCACGACGCCTGAAGGACACAGTTAAGGAGGCTACCGTGCTGAAGGTCAGTGACTCCCCTCAGAAGGTGCTCTGTCCTGTCACGCTCTCTGTGGGTGACATTCAGCACTCGGTCGACATCCAGGTCGACACTGGAGCTACCTGTTCACTTTTGTCTCTTCAGTACGCCCGAGATCTCTTCAAGGGGAAGGAGTTTCAGCCGAGTAGCTCCAGGCTTTTCGGGTTTGGCAGGAAGCCAGTACCAGTAGCAGGAACACTCCCTGTGACTGTCACGTTTGGTGATAAGTGTGCTGACGCCCAGTTCTTCCTGGTAGAGACGCCATCGACCGAGGCCATCATGGGTCTCGATCTGATCCAGCAGCTGGGCCTGACGCTTCACCCGGCGTCTGGACAGATCTTCAGTGTGGAGCTCCAGTCCGAGCAGCTCCCAGCCATCGAGGGCTACACGCACAAGATCATCCTCAGGCCGAACGCCCGGCCTACTGCCTACAGACTGCGTCGTCTGCCGTTGGCAGTGAGGGAAGAAGTCAGTGCTGAGCTCCAGCGCCTGCTGGACGCTGACATCATCGAGCGTGTGGACGCCTCTGAGTGGGTGAGTCCACTGGTGGTTTCGAGAAAACCGTCAGGCCAGATCCGACTGTGTGTTGATCTGCGTGGGCCTAACTCACAGATTGTTGCTGAGGTGCACCCGCTCCCTACCATAGAGGAGCTTCAGTCTCGACTCCTCGGATCTGTCTATAGCAAGATAGACCTTCGGTCAGCTTACCATCAACTTGAGCTTCACTCTGACAGCCGTGATGTAACCGCTTTCATCACCCACGAGGGCCTCATGCGCTTCAAGCGTGTCCCTTTCGGACTCGTCTCAGCTGGCAGTGCCTTCCAGCACCTGTTGGATGACCTGCTGCACGGTATTCCAGGATGCGGACATTATCTGGACGACATCCTCGTCTCCGGATCCAGTCAGGCTGAGCACGACCAGCGTCTCCAGGCGGTGCTCGACCGTCTCCGAGCAGCACGCGTCACAGTCAACCACGCCAAGTCGTCCTTCAGCCAGAAGGAAGTCGACTTCTGCGGACACCGGATGTCTGCAACAGGAGTGACGCCGACTGCCTCGACAGTGCAGGCCGTCACGGAGGCCCCGCGCCCAGAGTCTCTGAAGGATCTCCGCAGTTTCCTGGGACTCACCGGCTGGTTCAGTCGCTTCATCAGCGGCTATGCCGAGGTGGTTCGACCCATGGCTAGCCTGCTGAAGAAGGACACACCCTTCGAGTGGACTCCATCCGTCGAACGGAGTTTTCAGCGCATCAAGCAGCTGGTGGCCGGCCAGCCGGTGCTGAAGCCGTTCCAGCCCGAGCTGCCGACCATCGTGACGTCAGACGCCTCGGACCGTGGCGCGGGCGCCGTCCTCTCCCAGATACAGGAAGACGGCTTCGAGCATCCTGTCGCCTTCTGGTCCCGCAGCTTCACCGACGCGGAGCGCCGCTACTCGGTCTCCGAGCGCGAGGCGCTCAGCGCCGTCCAGGCCGTGGAGAGGTGGAAGGTGTACCTGTGGGGGAGGAACTTCACTCTCCGCACCGACCACTCCGCTCTCACCACGCTGCTCTCTCCCAAGTTCTCGGGTAGAGCGGGAGCGCGCGTCGCGCGCTGGCAGGCGCGGCTCCTCCCGTACGCCTACGACGTGGTGTACGTCCCGGGACACCGCATCCCAGCGGCCGACGCGCTGTCCCGGCTTCCCCTGCCGGACACCGGGCCAGCAGAGGAGGATGATGAAGTCATCGCCCTGGTGACCGACGATGCAGCCGACGTGATCTCCGAAGATGACGTCAGAGAAGCGTCCCTGTTGGACGACACGCTGGAGCGGCTGCGGTCCGTCATCGCTGCCGGCTGGCCGGACTCGGCACGGAACTGCCCGCCCGACCTGCGGCCGTTCTTCCACGTCCGACACGAACTGCACGTGCGCCGTGACGCCGTGGTCATCCGTGGAGCGGACAGAGTGGTCGTGCCGGCCGCACTGACCGACCGGTACCTGCAGCTGGCTCACCGCGCTCACGACGGCATCGTCAGGATGAAACAGCTTCTCCGAAGTCTGTGCTGGTGGCCTGGAGTCGACCGTGCCGTGACAGAGGTCGTCAAGGCGTGCGACCTGTGCCAGCAGAGCGACAAAGTGCTGTCACAGAAGGTTCGACCTGCGCCGCTGCAGCCAGTCCCGCTTCCCACAAGGCCGTGGTCGAAGCTGGGTGTAGATATCGTGGGACCTATCGCCGGAGTTCCCCAGTCTGCACGCTATGCAGTCACCCTCACGGACTACTACAGCAAGTGGGTGGAGGTGGGACTCTGTGCGAAAGTCGAGACAAGTGACATCATCAGGATTCTGTCTGTGATCTGGGCCCGCGAAGGATATCCTGAGGAGATCGCAACGGACAACGGGCCCCAGTTCATCAGCCGCGACTTCGAGACTTATCTACAGCAGAGGAAGATCAAGCATCTGAAGTCGTCTGTGTACTGGCCGAGGGGCAACGCCGCCGTGGAGCGATTCAACCGATCGTTCAAGTCCTGGGTCCAGGCGGCCGCACAGCAGAGCCAAGTTCCGTTCCAGGCCTACCTGCAGGGCCGACTGGCGCGCTACCGTGCCACGCCGCACTGCACCACCGGTGTATCGCCGTCTGAGCTGCTACACGGCAGGAAGATGAGGCTGGACCTGCCGGTGTTCGACGACTACTGCGTCACCTCTGATGTGGCACGACGGGTCGTCAAGCAGCAGCGCCGCAACCGTCGCCACTACGACAGCCGGCACCGGGCGCGGCCGACCGAGATCGCTGTGGGCGACACGGTCTGCGTCCGCCAGCCCGGTCACGTCCAGAAGAAGGGCGCCAAGTTCAGCAAGCCGCTCCGCGTCGTCAGCCGTCACGGACCCGCTACGTTCGGTCTCTCCGACGGTTCGCGTTGGAACGTGGCTCACCTGGCCAGGAGGGAGATCGGCGCCGCCCCGTCGACGCCGACTCTGCCGGTCAGCACTGAAGCTGTTCCTGCGCCGCCGCCGCCGCCGTCTCCGCCGCCTGTGGTCGCGGCGGCCCCGGCATCGTCCGTGTCGTCTCCAGCGGCTCCTGTGTCTTCACCGCCGGCCGGTGCGGCCGCACCTCGCGATCCGCTGACCGGCGAACCGACCGCCTGCGCGCCGGCGCCGCCGGTCGGTGCGGCCCTGGGCCCGCTACCGAGCGAGCTACCGAGCGCGACCGAGATCGTGGCGTCCCCGTGTCCGCCGGCGCCACCTGTACTAGCGCCACCTATCGATCCGGTTAACCGAGTGGACCCTCGGGTCAGTGATCGTGGACTACCTGCCTCTAACCGCAGTGACCGCGAACTTACCGCGTCGTCGCGAGGCCGTCGTAGGTTTAAGCCGACTCGCTTGGACCTGTGATTGTGTTCTCCAGCTGAACTCGTGTGTGATTGTTCTCCAGCTGAACTCGTGTGTGATTGTTATCCAGCTGAACTCGTGGAGTTTAAGTTTAAGTGCGGGGGGATGTAGTGTTTCCCGATTAGAATTAAGCGTTTCGTTTGTACCGAGTACTATCGCCAGTGGGTACTTGTTTCTCTATTACGTGCTCCTCTATTGGCCGCCATACTGGCAATGCTGAGCGAGAATACAGTTTAGTGACGAGTGGTGGCGCGGCGTGTGGGACCTGGCGGTGCGGCTGAAGCGAGAGGAAACGCTATACCTTGCACTTACATAGGCATAGGCACACTGTTTTTGCAGATAGGTACCTATACTGTTTGACCTCAAAAGACACCGGTCCAGTTCCTGCTCAGAGCAGGAGGAAGGATAGTGTCACCAAGAAATATGCCGAAAGCAGTGCCATGATTTAATCGCTCCTCTTAGACAGGGAAAATAGAGCAAGGAAGTCAGCAGTGAGCGAGCTGGCGAGGACCGAGAGCAAGGGAGCAATTTTGTTGACAGCGCCCCCTACAATAGAGAGGAAATTTCCTAGTTCCTTGTTCACGCATACATTCATACCGAGCTGAAATTAGGACTTTGTGGCCAGCGTGGCAAAGGTAAATTCTAGGTTTGAGCGTCTATTCTCGACAGAGTGATGTTTATAGGCCTGCACATACCTACAACAGTCACCACTTGTTTCACTGTCACTACTTTCTCATTTGTTGGTCAGTTTTGCAACACTGAAGTCTGAATGTCATCAAACCTATGATGCCAATGAATGCCATCAAAAGGTCAACCATAAACTGGCCACTGGGCGGGACTCTTGCTGACAAAAAAAAAAAACTGAAGACATGGGCAGTCGGAGTAACGTGCAAAGACACTAAACCAGACAGTTTTACTGTATAGCATCATTCATTAGGTACGATATGGGCGGAAATATTTCAAACAATACCCAGACGATTTATCTGAACAAATAATAAATTTGGCGGACATATTTTATTTCGACATTTCATGGGTTCCGACACACACACAATACACATTGCATTCTCACAATATATGGCAAACGTGTACGTACCATTAAATCACTTAAGCCATTATATATCTATTACACATTCATGTCCAAGCAAACAGAAATAAAACGCTGTGTTGCACGATAAATCATATAACAATGTCGCGGCCGTCAGGACGAGGTAAACAAACATTGCCCCTCAGCAATCAGCATACACCCAATGCAAGCGAGTCACCAAAATCGTCACACAAGTTCTCCTAAGTTTTTTTTTTATAAGACCTCCTTCCTTTTGTGACGATTCATGACACCAGACATGCTACTTTATATACGTCCAGAACCATGTCACCTAGGCAGCATCATTGTACTTCTCCAGTGAAGTCACCTGACACGAGAACATTAAGTTTGAGTGCCTCGTATGCCCTGCATAGCGGTAACTTTCTATTATGCCATCGAGTACGGTTATCATTTCGGCATACAAAACAATAGGAAGCTTGCAAGAAGGCGGCGAAATCGAACGGTATTTTCATTCATTTCATAAAACGTGACCGGGAAGAAAAACGGTTACGTCGGAAACCTAAATAGGGCAATACGAGTATATGTTTTTTTCTAAAATAGAAAATAGCATAACCCAGCACAAAGTGATAATTGCACAGTTCCGACGTTCGATGCCCAAGATAAAAGGTGAACATTAACGATTTTATCGATTGCAAATCTCCTTATTGACAGCCTGGGGCAAAAACTAATCAACGAAATACACGGAAATTAATAACTATTATCAAGTAACCGCTACGTTATTCCGGTAAAGTTCTGATTGCTAATTTACCTTCCGGAAAACAAACAAAATCACATCGTTAACAGATAACTGGCCAACGTTTCCTCAACAATACTTCATCTAACACCGACGGAATGTATCTCACAATACCGTATCTCAGACAAGTCGTGTCAATAACAGTTTACAGACGAGAAAACTAAACAGACGATTTTTCGAAATGCTCTGCTATACAGCGAGTATTAGAAAATGTTTTGCTGAATAACTTTCAGTAGCAATTTACCTACCTGTAGTGATATTTCTCAATATAGACCACCTAAGATCTCACAAGGATCTTTCCAATAACTATCATGAAAACATACACATACGCACTCGCCGTATTAATTGTTTTAAAAACAATTTTCATAAAATGATTTGAAATTGCTCATACTAGGAGCAATATCTTGAAGACATTTTATCCAACGAAAAATAAAACAAAATCATATCCAGCGAAAAAAACAGTAAAATTACTAAATCTTAATAAAACAGCTAACAAGAACAATAAGGCAAAGCGTGCAGGTAAGTTGATTGCGACTACACTTGTTGGCGTTTTCATGGGTGCATTCACATATGAAAGTCGTTTGACTCTGATCACGGCATGACCCGCCGTTCGTTGTATCCTGCAATAGTGAGCCTTTGATACGCACACTGCCCGAACATGATAATGATTATGCAATTGTGAGCCATGCCTCATCAGATCCACCGCGGCATATTCTACTCCTAACCTAGGGCACTATGATGCTCTAAACGATACACCAACATTTCCACGCTTCCACCTACAAACTAATCACCACATAGCTCGTCTATCCATTCCCAGAGATTACCATGTTGTGGCACGATGAAGCATGCGTCCCTGATAAGCTTCTGTATGGCTCAAATAAAACCTCACTGGTGAGCGACCAAAGCAGCCTGAGCGCCCTTTTCACCCCATTAAAAATTGCACTGAAAGCTCCTCGGCTCGATGCATGTGGGGGCTGACTTAGATTTGTGACACAAGAACCGATGGCTTCGTGGATGCACACGAGGCTTCCAAATCCCCACACAGCTATTCTAACACCCTGAAATATCGCAAAGCACATTTCACCAACGCAGATCACCTGGTTCAAACTGGCGTGACCTTTGCACATTCGCTTCCCTTCACTTGAGATGACCGGATCACTCACGCTCGGCGTCTTTCACAGAGTAGTGACCTGTAATGGCCCATTATCCCCCGCAGGCCGATGATCCAGCACCACATATTTCGTCGCATAGCCGTTGATGCCAGAGCGCAGCACCGGAGTGTCTGGCGGCGTCACTGGGGGCGTCACAGGCGTCACGGGAGTCACGGACCGCTCCAGTAGGTGGCGCGCCTCAGCCGGCTCCGAATGTTCGTGTGACTGTGCGCGCTGTGCTGGAGGTCGGGGTCGGCTGGTGGCCGGTCGTCCACAGCGACGTCCGTCTGCCAGCAGACTCTCTGCGCCGTTCAGTTGGACCACCGACAGGGGCTCGTCCAGACAGCGGGAAATGAGACGAGGGTGCTGCACGCCCAGCACCTCGACCAGCCGACGCGCCTCGGGACGGTCGTCCGGGTCAAACGACCAGCAGGCCTCCAGAAGCTCAGCACTGGAGGGAGATTGGAAAAGGGTCAGTGGCAGGCCACAACGATCAGTTCACTGCACCTGGCCTTGTCTGCTGGTGTCCACATCAGGTGAACACCAGTGTTGATCATACTTTTAGGGACTGCAAGTAAATGTGGATCGGATTCCTAAAAAGCCTGATCAGTGATCGACCCGTATCAAAACACGAAGCAATTCACATTTCATCCTTTGGCAAAATCGCCAACATCGAAATTTCCAAGCATATCTATACACCAGTACAACGCCTTTTTGGGGCGACCAACGGAGCGAGCGAGAGGGTGGGCCTTGCACGTGCGAAATCGCGAGGGGGATACCTCCAACTTACTTGTGTACTGCACCCACTAACCGGTCCCTAGCGATGTGCCAAATTTGAGCGCAATCGGCCGAGCCGTTCTCGAGATCTAGCAGCGGCACCCTGCACGTGCGCACGTGCGAAATGGGTCCCAACTGACTTTTGCACGACACTCTACTAACCGATCCCTAGCTATACACCAAATTTCAGCGCAATCGGTTCAGCCGTTCTCGAGAACTGGAATCGACCCCTGCGCGTGCGCACGTGCAGCAGCACCCCAACTCTGGCATATGGATATGCTTGGTAGAAGGAATGAAGCTTCCCTACAAAAATTACCGCGTGTAAATCGGTCAAGTGGTTGCTAAGATATAAGCCTCACAAAAGCGTCCGCACGGCCGGTCGGCCGCTCATACTCAGAAATTTACGTTAATCTAAGGAAAGACTACGCTCGCTTCGCTCGCTCCGTAATAAGTGCCGCGCCAGTCAATTACACCTATGCAGTGTTGAAGGCAATCACGTGATATAATTGTCCATAGCTGGCAGACTGATATGTGTGTCTGCCATTTCACTAAGAACACCTCTGGTGACTGGCGAGTGAACTAACAGTACGGAGTTTCTTCCGATAAGGCTTTGTATGTATGTGACCGTTTTCAGCCGCCAGGCCCGACTCCACGAGGCTTTTCTGAGGTGTGGCCGTGTGGGGCAGTAAATCGACAGCTTCGGTTCTCGACATGGCTTGATAAATAACGTCACACCATATGTATCATGAAACATGGTGATTTACGTTGTGCTATAAATGAAAAAAACAGCGTCCCAGGCATTAGACACGTACTTTCGAAGGGGACTTAATCCTGGACAATCCTGTTTTTTTTTTTATTAGGTCCTTTCGGTCCAATGGGACCATTTCAGAGCCGGGAGGATGATAAGATATAGGGGGAGACATTGGTCTGGGCAGGCACCCTAGTGAGTCACCGGGGCTAAGCCCGTCCAGAGGACAGGCCACCCAGCCCCAAGGTACTCACTGCACCCGGCTACGGGGTGCGCTCCCTCGGGAGCAGCGGTGCCGCTCCAAGGGAGCGGCATGAGCTAAAGTTGCCCGCATGAGCTAAAGTTGCCTGTCCAGCCCGGAAGGGGTTGCGGCGTGGAGGAGAAGGATTTCAGCATCCTGAGGGTAGATGCACGGAACGGTGACAATCCTGGATAACTAACTGGTCTTTTGTGCGAGGACAGCACCCATGACAGCACATTATACGTCAGGAGAGGTTACTATGCATGTGACAGCAGTCGCTCGCAACTACATATCTAAAACTCCCCAGCTCGGGACAGAGCTGTAGGCCTATACAACTGTCAGTGTGATGATGTACTGATACTCACAATTCGGGCTTCACGCCGGGTGGGATGGTGATATGCCGACCACTGCGCACGATATCAAGCACCTGCCCGTTCTCATAACCTTGGAACGGGAAGCTACCACAGGTGGTAATCTCGAACAGTAGAACTCCGTACGACCAGATGTCCGACATTGGTGTAAAGATACCCTCAGCCAGCGACTCTGGCGCCATCCAGCGGACAGGCAGCATGGCTGAAGTGAAAGAACAGGCCGTCAGAGTAAATCGATTCGATTGGCAATGGGAAAGCACAGGATGGTCAATGCAATGTTAATTACTCGGGCTGAAAGGGTCGCACAGTCGATACTGCCACATCATTCTGACCTGGCAGCATCGGCGATGCTGCTTTGCGTATTTTCGTCACAGTTCACGCAAATCACTCAGAAGTCACGCAAGTCACTCACTGACGGTCTGACCTCCACTGCCCGCCAGTTTGACCTGACCCGCCGGCACCGGGCGCGGGGCCACCCCAAATGCGTCCGTCCCTGGCCCCGCGGGCCCGACCCGACTCCGATATAGCCGATGTGAGTGCATTTAAGTATGATATATGCACGATGTATGAGTCCATTTAGACAGGAGTATAAACTAGCGCAGTAAAATGTGCCAAAACAAACTACATAATTTATAATAGCCTACATCGCTAGCGCTCCCAAGCCGCACGTATTCGTATTACCTTCTCGGTGAAACTTGTAGTAGTTGTTCTCGCTCAACGATCTCGTCATACCGAAGTCGGCCAGTTTCACCACGTAGCTCCCGCTAACCAGACAGTTTCGGCAAGCCACGTCCCTATCGGCACAGCATGGTCATTGCTCAATGTGTGGCCCCGCAGCAGCCAACCAATGTGTTGTAATCTGTATTTACGAGCAGAATACGAAAGCTAAACAACATCGGCAATTCCTGTTCCCACCACTTGGGCACGGAGTTTATTGCCACTTGTCCATCTAGAGCAAGTACTTTGCATAGTGTAGCGAGGTCTCGTCGATAAAAGCAATCATCAAAAGCTAGGTTTCCTGCCTTTTCCTCGATAACGCCAATGTATAATAAACCTATAACGTAATTCCTATCATCATGATGATCATGACGCTTAAATTTTATAACACAGCGTGATGATGCAGTATGCACTAAAATAGCAGATGTTATGCATTTTGTAGATAGCTTAATGCTTATGAAATGTTGTTGGATGGTATAACAGACAAGAAATTTGTTTCCATTCTTAATTTCATTTTGCATGCCAGGTACGACATAACATTGGGGTAACGTTATCTACTACGTGACCATTTCTAGTTTTCACTATTCGATACCCCGCGGTGCTCTGAGATTCCGCGCCGGGCCGGGGGGGGGTGTCTGAACATCCCCCTTCTAACTCGGCTCCTGGGCCACGTAGCGACACGCGGTAAGCGGCAATCGAAAGAACGTCCAAAATAAGGACGAAAACACTTCGGTCATTTTTTTGGTCAGGTCAAAGGTCAGGTCACCAGAGGTCATCAAAGGTCAAATGTCCGCTATTTCAACATTTTGGAAACTGCCAACGGCTATCTCGGGAACCGATAGAGCTACAGCGCCGCGGAAAAGCGCATTCGATAGCCCTTTTACAGACCTTTCTGAGTAATGCTCTCAGATTTGACCTCAGGTCAACGGTTTAGCCTCCAGGGGGCAAAAACTCCAAAAATAGCCGTTTTTACGAAAAACGTTTTTTCGGCAATAACTTTTGACTCAAAAGATTCATGACATTACTTTTACCACCATCGTGTTCCTCTCGTCGAGACGCGTCGAATGAACTATAATTTGACCTTGAAAGGTCAACTTGAAAATTTGACCTCAGGTCAAGGTCATGACCTGACCGGAAAAGGTCATGTTGCATATCAGTCGATCCGCAACGTCGAGCCGAACACATCTAAGGCGTTTTCAGTGCTCTAGCACGTCTCTATTAGAAGTTATTAGCGAAAAACTGTTAGATTCTGTTCGTGACCTGAGATGACCTCGGGGACATAACGAGGGGTCAGAGTTGCCATTTTCCGGTTCAGTGTGTCCATTTTACCTACATCTCGATGTTTGAGAGTGTCTAGAATAACGTTCGTGCAAAACAGACGCTTTTCAATTTTCTCCCATTGACTTATAATGGAGAGGTCGCAAAATTGACCTGACCTTAGGTCACCGATATCAAAATTCCGAGATATACATTTTATAGATAGTGTTGTATATATATATATAGATATATATAGATAGTGTTGTATATATGTAGCCGTAGCAGTTACTGCGTATATTTCTGTGGCGTGGCCCCGACTCTGTCTAGACGAGTGGTGTGGCCGGTCGCGGCGCCCGGGGCCCTGTGACGTATTGGACCACGTGACCTCGCCGAGACCGGGGATGTGCGGGCCGATGGCCGGCAGAATGGTGCTGGCCTTGATGCTGGAGTGACGGCCAATACAAATGCAGTGAGTGACTCCGAATGTGAGAGTGCGGCAGTGCAGTGACTGGCTACATTTGGTGGCAGCGGGTCCGGACAACGCTTTTTCGGACGCCTGTACGAGACCAGTTTGTCTCGTGCCTTCTGCGATTTTCAGCGCTGCATGTGTCGTGTGTCGCCGTCTGCACTCCGCGATCACTCGTGACGCTGCCTGTCGTCTTCGCTGCCGAGTACCTGGTGGCGACGCGTCTGCTGGTATCTACTGGTGGCGACGTGTCTGCTGGTGTCTGCTGGTATCTGCTGGTGGCGACGCGTCTGCTGGTGTCTGCTGGTGGCGACGTGTCTGCTGGTGTCTGCGCGTCTGCTGGTGTCGGCGCGTCTGCTGGTGTCGGCGCGTCTGTTGGTGTCGGCGCGTCTGCTGGTGTCTGCGCGTCTGCTGGTGTCTGCGCGTCTGCTGGTGTCGGCGCGTCTGCTGGTGTCGGCGCGTCTGTTGGTGTCTGCGCGTCTGCTGGTGTCTGCGCGTCTGCTGGTGTCGGCGCGTCTGGTGGTGTCGGCGCGTCTGCTGGTGTCGGTGCGTCTGCTGGTGTCGGCGCGTCTGCTGGTGTCGGCGCGCCTGCCTGAGCCCTGACTTGGTGTCTGTGCGCCTGCCGGACTGGTGTCTGCGCGCCTGCCCGACTGGTGTCTGCGCGCCTGCCCGACTGGTGTCTGCGCGCCTGCCTGACTGGTGTCTGCGCGCCTGCCCGACTGGTGTCTGCGCGCCTGCCCGACTGGTGTCTGCGCGCCTGCCCGACTGGCGTCTGCGCGCCTGCCTGGCGTCTGCGCGCCTGCCTGCCTGCCTGGTGTCTGCGCGCCTGCCTGCCTGCCTGGCGTCTGCGCGCCTGGCTGCCTGGCGTCTGCGCGCCGGCCTGCCTGGCGTCTGCGCGCCTGCCTGCCTGGCGCCTGCCTGATTGGCGTCTGCGCGCCCGCCTGCCTGGTGTCTCTGCCCGGCGGCTCGTCTACGGACGCTTCTAAACAACCGGTAGGTTCAGCCCTGCAGTTTTTTACCACCCGTGTTCTTGTAGTGTTTTGCCGTGCAACCTGTCATAATGGATGAAAAACCATGTTCTGTGTCGCCCGGTGCCACATCGGGCCCTGTAAATGTGGGGATGCCTCGATTTTCGGGAGAGGGATGTGTTCGTCGTTTTCTGGATGATTTTGATCGGTATGCTCGCCTACAGTACTGGACTGATGAGCGGAAAGTAGATATCCTTCCTCTCTGCCTTTCTGGGATCGCCAGAGACGCGTTTGACGCTCTGTCCAGGGAACAGCAGCGGACGTTTCAATCGGCTGCAGATGGTCTCCGGGCTGCTTTTTCGCAGCGCAGTGCCATTGACTATCACCTAGCCTTGCGAGGCCTGCGATATGATCCACGTGAGTCACTGGATAACTTTGTAATCACGTTCCGCAAGCATGTGGCAAATGCGTTTCCCAACCAGCCTGCGGATGGTCAAGGCGAGCTACTCTTTAACCATTTTCTGTCTGCTCTGCCTGATGATTATTATGCGGCTGTGATTGCTGACGGTATCACCTCGTTCGATGCCGCTGTCGCTAAGGTGCGAAACAAGCGCAATGCTACCAAAGGCGTTCCGCATGACGCCTCGGTGCGTTCTCTAGCGGTAGGGGGCGACGATGAGTCCATAATTGCTCAGTTGCAGCGCCGTATCGCGGAGCTCGAGTCACAGCTGCAAAACCGGCCAGTGGGGTCGCGTGGCGCTGGCCCCCGTCAACCGCGAGACTGTTTTGCTTGTGGTAAGTCTGGTCACATGAGGTGGCAGTGTGCCAAGCGGGACCGGTAAATGTCAAGTTTACGTCCTAAGCACATTTCAATGATATTTCTTTCATAATCTTACATATTTTGACATGCTGAATCCAAAAATCATACTTACATGTCTCGCAAGAACAAAATTATCACCAATACACTAAGCAATTACACCTTCCCACAACACACGATCAAAACAAATCGAGAGGAAATTGAAAGTGTCCAGCGTTGCCATTTGTGAAAAATATTTTGTCTTTTTTTAATGTCGAGAAATAAAAACATTCAATATATTATAAAAATAGATAGGAAATATGTAAAAAATATTTATTTAAAAAGAAATATTATTATTAGAAATAGAATAGCAAAACAACAAAGGGGAAATGTTGGGAACCGGGGTTATTGGGTGGGGAGGGTTAGAAAAACAGGGAAATGTTGGGGATCGGGGTTCATGGGTGGGGGAGAGAAAAAATGAAAATGACGTCATAGGGAAATGTCGGGAACCGGGGTTTGTGGGGAGGGGATGGAGAAAAATACGATAAGAATGGTTACAATATTTGGGAAATTTTAGGAATCGGGGTTCTTGCCTCAAATCTAATTGTTACCTAACCTAACCTTACCTGACTTGACCTAACCTAACCTAACCTAACCTAACCTAACCTAACCTAACCTAACCTAACCTAACCTAACCTAACCTAACCTAACCTAACCTAACCTAACCTACTGATTTTTGCCTACCGGGGATAAGGAAAAAGTTGCTTGCAGGAATAGATTGCAGGCAAGAGTAAATCAAATATTTTTAGGTTAAGTGGTCATGCATCAGGCTTCAGGCCTTCGGCCTGAAGCCAGATACATAACCACTTAACCTAAAAATATTTGATTTACTCTTGCCTGTAATCTCTCCTAAGGCATTGCCTTCGGCACTGCGCTGCTTCGCCGCGAGAAATATTATGACGTCATTATTCACAGTTGAATAGCAACTGTTAGATATCATTCTTGATTTTGGCCAACTTTGCACAAGTAATCGCCCCCCAGTTCTCAGGATTTTCCTTTCCTCCCCCCCCCCTAGCCAATAACCCCGGTTCCCAACATTTCCCCTTTGTTGTTTTGCTATTCTATTTCTAATAATAATATTTCTTTTTAAATAAATATTTTTTACATATTTCCTATTTATTTTTATAATATATTGAATGTTTTTATTTCTCGACATTAAAAAAGGACAAAATATTTTTCACAAATGGCAAGGCTGGACACTTTCAATTTCCTCTCGATTTGTTTTGATCGTGTGTTGTGGGAAGGTGTAATTGCTTAGTGTATTGGTGATAATTTTGTTCTTGCGAGACATGTAAGTATGATTTTTGGATTCAGCGCGTCAAAATACGTAGGAATGTGAAACAATTATCTTTGATATGTGCTTAGGACGTAAACTTGACATATACCGCGGGACCATCGTTGTCAGCGGTGCGGGTCCCTGGGGCATGTGGAAACTGTTTGTGGCAGGTACCCTCAGGCGGAAAACTGGCGGGGAACCGTCCCGGGGTCCGGGGTCGGGTCCCGCGATCTGACGCAGGGCCAGCCGACGGCGTAATCACGTTGCAACCGGATATGACATTCACTGCGCTGTTGAACGGAGTCAGTTGCACATGCTTACTGGACACTGGCAGTAACATCAGTATAGTCAATCGTTCGGTGTTTGACGCTCTCCCGGGCCGGCCGTCGCTGCGCAAAACCACGGTGCGTGCCAAAACTGCCTCTCTGGATGATCTTCCGTTGTTGGGAACAACCGTCTTGTCGTTTGATTTTGGGGTAACTTGTGCATCGGTTCCTGTATTTGTATCGGAGTCCATCGATGTGCCGTGTCTCCTTGGGCTGGACTTTTTACGTGTGTGCCCGTGCGTCATTGATGTCCGACGGAGCCGGCTGGTACTGACGCCAACAGCTGCTGTGCGTTCGGTGTCGGCCGAAGCCGTCTCTGTGGGGAATGTGGTGGTGAGTCGTGACACGGTGATATATCCGGGTGATGAGGTACTCGTACGTGGTTTTGTGTCCCGCTGTGACTATCGTGGCCCAGCTGTTGTGCAACCCCAGCTGGAGATTGTGGGTCTTGAGTTCGTCAGTACGCTAGTCGAGGTGTCCGGGCCATCCGTACCTTGTGTGGTTCGGAACATAACGACTGAACCGATATCGATTCTTAAACGTAGTGAATTGGGGCAACTTGAAGTGGGGTTTGCTGAGGAGATTGCGGACGCGCCCATTAGCCCTCACGGTAGAAATGTTTGTGATAAGTTTGATTTGAACACATGTGGGCTATCTGATGAGCAAAAGGACCAGGTAAGGGATGTACTAAACAAACACGAACAGATGTTTGACGGACATATTGGTTTTACCACCCTAGTTAGCCACAGCATTGACACGGGTGACAGCCCGCCGGTGCGTCAGCCACCGAGACGCATACCTACCCATCTTGCCACTGAAGTGAAGGCGCAGATAGAGGATCTTGTGAGACAGGGTGTGCTGGAGGAGTGTATGGGAAGCTGGGCTTCCCCGATCTGCCTGGTGAGACGGAAAAACGGTAAGATTCGCATATGTGCGGATCTCCGGCGGCTCAATTCCGTAACTCGACCATCATCTTATCCCATTCCTCGTGTGGATGAGTCACTTGAAGCGCTATCAGGTTCCAACATGTTCTGTGTCTTGGATATGAACAACGCGTATTTTCAGGTGGGAGTGGATCCGGATGACAAGGACAAAACTGCCATAATCACTCCTTTTGGCTGCCATCGCTATTCTCGGATGCCGTTCGGCTGTTCGGGGGCCCCTTCCACGTGCGCTCGGCTGCTTGATGTGGTGCTCAAAGATGTGCCATCTTCCAGTTGTGTTCACTATTTTGACGATGTGATTGTTCATGGTTCTGATTTTAAAGATGTGCTGGCCAAACTAGACTGTGTTCTGACTCGTTTGCAGGATGCTGGTCTGACATTGAACCCGGAAAAGTGTGAGTTATTTCGTTCCAGCGTCACATTTTTAGGTCATGTTGTTTCTAGTGAAGGAATTGGAACCGACCCAGAAAAGGTTAGGAAAATTTTGGAGTGGCCGCAGCCGTGCAATGTGAAGGAACTTGGTAGTTTCCTTGGGTTGGCATCTTACTTCCGCAAATATATTCCTCACTTTGCAGAAGTGGCAGCCCCGTTATTCAAACTTACCCAGAAAGATGTCACGTTCTCTTGGTCACCAGAGGCACAGTCTTCGTTCGAGGCGCTGAAGACTGCTCTGACGGACGCTCCAGTGATGGCCTTTCCACAGTTCGGAGACGGTGCTGGTGTCTTCACGCTGGACTGTGACGCGAGCGATGAAGGCGTTGGAGCGGTCTTGTTACAGGAGCAGGGTGGCGTGGATCGGGTCGTAGCCTACGGAAGCCGCCGACTGTCCAAGGCTCAGCGAAATTATAGCACGACGAGGAAGGAGCTGTTGTCGTGCGTTTTATTCACGCAACATTTTCGGCACTACCTTCTTGGCCGTAAGTTTCGGTTACGTTCAGACCATGCCAGTCTCCAGTGGCTTTTAAATTTCAGACATCCTACTGGAGTGATTGCCAGGTGGTTTGAAATTTTGTCAGAGTTCGATTTTGATATTTTGTATCGTCCAGGTGCAGAGAACGTTGTCGCCGACGCGCTGAGCCGACGACCGGCTGACCGGGTGGAAGTCTCCACACAGACCGACGAGCCCACTGTCCGTGCAGTTTCAGCCCTTTCGTGGTCGTCCAGCTACCTCAGGGAACAGCAGGATCAGGACGGGGCTGTTGCTGAAGTAACGCGTTTTCTGTCCGCGGGTGTGAAACCTCGAAGGCGTGAGGTGTCTGCGGCGGTGTCGCCGTTCCTCGGGCAGTGGTCTAGGCTGACTCTTCTGAATGGTGTTCTTTACAGGATGTACAAAAGACGTGCTGGTGAAGCTGAGAGACTGCAGGTTGTCGTGCCTGAGTCGCTGGTTCCGGGAGTGCTGACATCGCTCCATGCAGGTCCGGCTGGTGGTCACTTTGGAGCTGAAAAACTTCTGGAACAGATTCGGGCCAGGTTCTGGTGGCCTGACATGGCTCGCAGTGTTGAGACGTTTTGCAGGAGCTGTGAGCGGTGTAACACCAGAAAGGACCCGGTCCCTCGACCTCGTGCTGGTATGGGGGAATTGTATGCAGCTGAGCCTTTTGACACTGTGTGCATTGACATTTTGAGTGGATTGCCGACAACTGGTAGGGGAAATAAGCATCTGCTTGTGGTGTGTGACGCGTTTACACGATGGTGTGAAACATACCCTCTTCCTGACATGAAGGCCACGACTGTAGCCTCAACTCTGGTCAATGAGTTTTTTGCCAGGTACGGCTGCCCTCGGCGACTGCATTCTGATGGTGCTGCAAATTTTACAGGTGCGATTCTCGCGGAAACCTGTCGGTTGCTGGGGATTGAAAAGTCGAAAATATCGTCCTATCATCCAGAGGGGAACGCTAAGGCTGAGCGCCTCATGCGTACCATTCTCGGCATGCTCTCAAAGTACCTCGACAATAATCACACGGAATGGGATCTACACCTCCCTTTGCTAATGCTGGGGTACCGCGCCCAAATCCATTCTTCGCTGGGGTACTCACCCTATTATCTGATGTTTGCGCGCGAACCAAAACTGCCAGCGGAGGCGGTGTTGGGTGCGCCAGTGCCGACGAGTAGTCGATCAGTGGCAGAGTATGTGGACGGGCTTTGCGCTAGTCTGCGGTTGGCGCACCACTTTGCCATCTCTGCATCTGATCGCCGGCACGCTCGCAACAAACGAGCTTATGGAAGTAAGTTGAACGAGTTCACATTTCACCCAGGCGACCTGGTTTACCTACACAAAGCGGTAGTTCCCGTTGGTCAGTACTACAAATTCTTGAGACCTTGGAAGCCCGCTACGATACTCCGGAAAGTGGGCGATATGAATTACAGGGTAAAGCTCGATGGCAATGGTAAAACGATTTTGGTTCACCATAATCGGCTAAAGCCTCGAGCTGTGTCCCCGAGAGACGTGTCTGAGGAGCCCGAGTCCGAGTCTGTTGGACCTGATGTTGATGGTGTTCCTGATGTGCGTGCCGAGCAAATTGTCCCCAAAGCCGGCCGATACGGAACGCACAGTGCATTAGATAATCGTGGTTCCCTTGAAGTTACAGCGCCGGATGTGTCTACCTGTGTTGGTGTTGTGTCAGATGTGTGGAACAATGGAGGGGAGTGGATTGTGTGCAGTGGTGTCCCGTCTGACGCCGCCTATGCCCCGTCTGACGCCGACGTTGTTCCGTCTGACGCCGCCGGTGTCCCGTCTGACGCCGCCGGTGTCCCGTCTGACGCCGCTGGTGGCCCTCTCGACGTTGTTGTGGCCCCTCTTGATGTTCCTGATGCCTCACCTGGCGCTGCTGGTGCCCATCCTGACGCTGTTGGTGTCCAGTCTGGCGCCGCTCGTGCCCCTCCTGACGCTGCTGGGATCCCTTCTGGTGCTGCTGGGATCCCGTCTGACACTGCTGGTGTCCAGTTTGACATCGTGGATGCCGGTGCCACGCCTGGTGTTCTGGGTGACGTTGCTGGTGCTCGGGGTGACTCTGGTAATGCGCAGGGTGATTCTGTTCATTATCATGAGCGGGGTGACTGTGTTCCGGGCTCTGATGTTGGCGCTGTTGTGAGTGGGAGTCAAGGTGCGTCTGTGGACTCCGATGCAGGTGCAAGTGTTGAGTCTGAGTTGGGTCCGGGTGGTGCGCGGCGGCGTCCGGTTCGGTTGCGTAAACCACCCGATTACTATGTGCCATGAATTTTGTCATTATGCTCGTTGATAATGACTCTCTGTTGCAGTGCCCTGCGATCAGACGCTTAGTGCAACTGACTCCAGTGACCCGGAGGCCCCGGACTCGTGGGTGCCGAGTCTGACCGTCTGGTCATGCCCGCGGCCGGCGCTCGTCTTCCTGTGATGTAGCTCCGAGAAGATGCGCGGCATGCGCGGCCGCGATCGTGAGCGCCGGTGGTTGTGCGCCCTATCCTACGGTTTCGCCGCGATTTGTTGCTGTGTGTCCTGCTGGTGGCTGTGGCCGTGAGAGTTTCTGTTGGTGTCGGACGTCTCCCCGCGATGTTGCGCCGGTCAGATGCGGGGCCCGCGCGGCCGCGCTTCTGGGCGCTGGTAGCTGTGCCGTTCCGATCGACTGTTTCGCCGCGATATGTTTGGCGTCGTGTTGCGCCTGCGGTTGTAGCCGCTAAGTTTGTGTTTTGTTTCACGGTTCTGATTGCGGGAGTCCGACAGCTTGCTAATGTATTTATGAGGGGGAAGAGTGTAGCCGTAGCAGTTACTGCGTATATTTCTGTGGCGTGGCCCCGACTCTGTCTAGACGAGTGGTGTGGCCGGTCGCGGCGCCCGGGGCCCTGTGACGTATTGGACCACGTGACCTCGCCGAGACCGGGGATGTGCGGGCCGATGGCCGGCAGAATGGTGCTGGCCTTGATGCTGGAGTGACGGCCAATACAAATGCAGTGAGTGACTCCGAATGTGAGAGTGCGGCAGTGCAGTGACTGGCTACATATATATAGAATCAATCGCTGAAAGTTTCAAGGCAATCGATCAATCGGTGTAGCTATGACGAGCATTCTTATTTTTTCTGAGGTGAGGTCACTTGGCGTGACCTGGTGACCTGACCTAAGGTGACCTGGGTCTGAAATTTTCACAACATGTGCGGAAAAGATGCACGAACAGGTGTGCCAAAAACGGCGGCGCTCCACGCCGCCGTTTTTGAGATATCTGCGAAAAACCGCAGGGGGGGGGGTGTTCAAACACCCCCTCCGGCCCGGCGCGGGATACTATGTAGAATATGTCCAATAAGAGTCAAAGTTCCTTTGCCTGCAATTGTTTTATATTAGAAGTTCAAATCAATGCTTCAATAGTTGTTTCAGGGGCTGCAGAGTCGGCGTCGGAGTCGGAGTTGCAGTCGGTTGTAGTCGACAGTTCTGCCCGGAGTCGGAGTCGGAGTCGGAGTCGCTAAAACCTTACCGACTCCGACTCCGGAGTCGCAGTTGACGCCGCATGGCTTAACGTCATGCGCTGCACCTGTTTGATTGACGATACTGTACTCAAAATTAGATTTTGTCGAAAAAAGGTCATTTCACTGTTTTGGACGAACGTTTTCAGCGAAAGAAGCAGAGGACGGTTAATTCCCCAGAACCTGCTTTTTAATTCTGCACGCTATTTGTAATGCATATTTGCAACACAAAGACTTGGAACGTATACAAGGAATCGTTTCAGGCAAGATAAAACATATCCATTATTAAAGGGACCCTCCCACCTTCAAAAAAGTTTATGAATTGGCATTAAAGTGATGTCGCTCGGTTCAGAAAGAGCGAAAACGAATGTAACGCTGGCGCGTTTCATTTTCCCTCCCCAAATCAACCCGTTCCCAAATTCATCCTTCATAACAGCAGCGCGCCGGCGACCAGACACCGATGACCCGCCGACCATCTGGCCGACACCGGACGGCAGGACAAACACGGATCCGAGACCGCGCCGCCAAATGCTATTATCCGGCGGCCCTTACAGAGCCGTCTCACCGCCGCCGACCGTGGGAAGGGTCCAGCAATGGGTCCCAACCCCGGTCAAGGGGGGCCGGGGGGACGGATGGACAAAGGCACGCAGCCTCCTACGCGCGGCGAACGGACACCGTCAGCCTGGGAAACAGGACACGACAGCGCCGCTGCGGCAGCGGGAGGCCGGGGCGCCCGGGACCAAATTGACCACCGGTATCACACTTCAAAGGCAATTTCTTCAAAACACGGCTCGAAATAGCACATTTCCAGGATGTGCCGAGACTGGCGCCGACAATCAGCATCGTGAAACTGGGACAGCCGACGGAGTAACAATATCCAAATTCCAGTATGGCACGGCACATCCGCATTCCCGGGCCCATCTTCCCACGCTGGCAAACCTGGCCGGCGTGGCAAATCTGCCGGCATCGCCAGGGGCAGAAGATTCAAATTCACCTATCGGCGCCAGAATATTTGAAGGGAGGAGGAGCACCCAGAGAGGATGGCAGTCACCATGGAAACGGCACGCCGGAGGCTGCACAGCGGAAAAACGCATACGTTTCGGCCCAACATAACGTTAAATTTAATAGGAATCTCACCCTTTCGGCAACCAGACTCAGCAGAAAATACAGAAGACTGGTTAGACGGAGAGAAGACCTGGAAAATTGGCCCTTACTGGAAATTCAGAGAGCAGCAGAACTCGGAAGAAAGAGGCGGAGCGAAGACGGCAACTCTAGAGACAGCCCGAGGCAGATGGAGCTCCAGCAAAACTTTGAGGATTTTGAGGATAGAGGGCAGTTCGGGAAGGAGGACGCTGGGCAGCAGTTGAGTTCGGTTCTGGGGAGTGCAGTTGGTAATTTGAATTATACCTTAGTGGCCGGCATTTTTCCGCTCCACTTTCATTTAATCGAAATGTGACCTACCTGTGAAATTAACATGCTCTACCTAACAGTTAACGTTACCTGGTTTGTATTTCCGGCAGTATACCCCATAATCATCATTTGATTTCACGATTGTGATCGAGTGTGGCCAGAACGATTTTGCTAAGCTTAATTTTAAATTTGCCCGAACGCCGCTCATTATCTCCGACAATTAACGACGATATCAATACCGTTTATGAACGATTTAAATGTCCCTGCCCGCGCCGTCCGGACCCATCAGCCGACTGCCTGTCGCCGGCTCGGCCCGACCCGGCTAATCCCCGGGAATGTGCGTGGAAGGAGGGGGTGTCCCGCCCGTGGGGAGGGGTTACCTGGCGGCTGGTCAGACGGTGACGCCGGCGGTGGGGGGCCGGCGCCGGTCGAGAGAAGCGGCCATCTTTGGGTGCCTGATCGGTCCCGGCCGCCGGTCCTGCGGCGGCTAGAGCAATTAGCGCGTGCCACTGGCCGTCCAGCGCGGGTTCACAGGGAAACTGGGATGGGGCGCTAGGTCCGACGGCGGCACACGATCACTCGACGCGGTGGTAGAGCACCGACTGAAGACGGATCATGGATGCGCCGCGTGTAAGAATACGATCTATCGACTTTCCTCCTTTCCTATCATTCTTCTCCGATTGATTGGTAATGCAGTCTCTGAGTGTCGGCCAGCCGGTCTGTCGGCTTGTTGACCTGTCAGTCTGTCGGTTTGCCATTCACGGTCTGATGGTCTGTTGGTCTGATGGTACGTCGGTCTGTCAGTTTGACGGTCTGTCAGCACGCCGGTCTGTTGGTTGGTGACCCCTTGACTCGTCCGTCCGTTCGTTCGTCAGTCTATCTATACGTTCGGCCATCTGCTTCCATCTGGCTCCCTTTCTCTGTCTGTCCGTCTGTCTGTATGTATGTCTCCCTCCCCTTCTCTCTCTCTCTCTCTCTCTCTCTCTCTCTCTCTCTCTCTCTCTCTCTCTCTCTCTCTCTCTCTCTCTCTCTCTCTCTCTCTCTCTCTCTCTCTCTCTCTCTCTCTTCTCTCTCTCTCTCTCTCTCTCTCTCTCTCTCTCTCTCTCTCTCTCTCTCTCTCTCTCTCTCTCTCTCTCTCTCTCTCTCTCTCTCTCTCTCTCTCTCTCTCGCACTCATAGCTACCAGCACGCGTTTCATGTCGTCAGTCGGTAATCCGGGATTGTGTCGTCTGGTCTACTGCGTACATGACGTCACGGAGGAGGTGCTGTCTCGGGACGCGTGGGGGAACGGACCCCAACCCGCAGGCGCGGCGACGCCCGGGCCGGACGGGCTCGGCCGTGCTAATGATCAGGGGATCGGCGGGTGACCCTCGCTGCTCGCACCGCGCTGGGGTGCGGGATAACAATGGCTGAGCCGAACCCGCAGTCAGAGGTGACCTGTGGCCCACTGAGAGCGGCTATCGCTACACGGACCGCCGAGTCATTAACAATTATACCCGGATTGACATAAACATCACCGATGATTGAAATAGGGTCAGGCATCGCTTCCAACTTCTAATTGTTAAAGTCGGACAATGTTTTTTTATACGAATGGGTTGAGTTAATGCTTTGTCAGAGTTACATGATTTGTCGAAATTAGAACACGTTTTTTCACTCTACAAAATGCTTATCGGTAAAACTCGAGGAAAGGAATTAAGATAAATCGTATCGAATTAAGGGGTACTATATTAGGGAATAAATCGGGGCTGCGAGGCCAGTCTATGCGTGTCGTACCCCCGTGTACGTTGTGTTCATCGACACGGTTGTCTACACTTACGGGTGATGGGACGGGTTTTTGTCTGGGTTGAACGATTGAATGTGTAGTTATGATTGATCTGATGGCATTTGGGCCGAAGCTCATTTTAAACTTACAAATAGGATTATTGGTTAAAGCATCAGTGGTAGGGGGTTTAACGTTGGCGATTTAGAGGTGCTTAATTCTAGCGATTGGTTTGTTCCGGAACGGTAGATTAAAACAGCTAGGTTATAGAGGGAATACTGCTTTCTGAATAGGTTTGGTCGGAGAAAGATCTGGTGATTGGATCTGGTGACCTGGTGATCTGGAAACTGTTCTGATGCGGTAAATAAGTGGCAAGGGAAATAAGTATGTATGGAGGTCGGTTCAGGGGAACCAGGTCATTGTAGGGTTACTGGAAGCATGTTGCAGTGGACGTAGGCACTCTGGAAGTAGGCTCTGAGAAGATATTGGTTGGTGGTTTGCAGTTCAAAGGACGGTTCGACGCTGGGAGTGCGCGTATTCATGTTTGGAGGCATCGTTTTTTTTTTGGGGGGGGGGGGGCTCGTTTTTAAGGTTTCATTATAGGTTTCATTATCGGTCCGTTCAGTGGTGGTGATTCCGGGCGACGCGTGCAGCATGCTTTGTTCTTGTATGGTTGCTCTCGTTCGATGCCCCAGGCCGGTGGCACGTCGTAAGTCGGGCAAAATAAATAGCCGTGTCTTGGTCTCGGCTAAGGTTCATATGATATATAAGTCCTGATAATTCAGGCGGGAAACCGGTGGGGTGCGACGGAGCATTCACGATGAGTGTACAGGCCATCGCACCACCTGGCTTTGGGGAGGTGCCAGAACGGTGCCTTTCAGATCTTATATCTCCCCAATGACCAGTTCAGAGGGACACAGAAAGTGTTGCTCGATTACGGGAGGTTCTCATGCATGAATGTTCGATTCAGGGTGTGAGTTTTCCCCGGTATTGCGTGAGGGCACAGCGTCTCACGAACGTGGATTGTCGCGGAGAGAGCCACCGTACGGGATTGTTCACCCGTTCGTCAACATTTCGGCCGCCGGAGTGGTTCTAAAGCGAGGGTCGATCGGCATGGATCGGTATACCCCTCAGGCAGGAAGCATCCCACCCGCCTCTAACTCCCCACTCCGGTGATAAAAAGTTAGGATGTATCCGGCGTGTCCTGCCGAACGGAGTCCACCGCAGGAAACCGCTCTCAGCAGGTCACGAGAACGGAATTGGGTAGGACCTGGTCACGCTGCTAATTATTGCGCAGGTATAGCGCGGGAAGGCATTCAGGGAGGTACAGGAAGGATATTGCGCCTGGAGGGCGCGGGAAACCGGCTTGAGTTCCGGGGCCGACCAGGTAACATTATATACCACGCGTGCGAACCATGTGAGTGCTGCGAGCCGACACTGGCCATGTCGTGAACAGCCACGTAGCCATGGGCGCGCGTTGGTCATTTCGAGTAGGGTCTGCGACGGCAGTTTAGGGAGGGGACGGCCGGGATATCGGGGTCCAGGGAAGGGCGGTAACCCGAAGGCCGTGTAGACTGTAGAGGCTCGGGTGGCGTCCCGAGGGGGGGGGGGAGACTAGCGTATCAGAAAGATGCAATATTATTGTCTCAAGATCCTGGAAGAGGGAGGGCTCCAGAAAGGTGCACTAAGTACTCCCTCCGGCCAGATGCGGGGTAGTGGCAGATAGGTCCGGCTGCTCCAAGACCCCTGGGCGGGAAGGGACCCGGGGGGTGTGGGAAGATGGAATACCCCACGGGCGTGGTTGGGCGCGGTAAGGGCACCACGGGGCGAAGTAGCTGAGTCGTCGTTAAATTTCGGCCACCCGGAGTGATTCGGAAGGAGGGTTGGACCCTCTACAAAGCAGGGAAATCCGGCCTGCATTAAAATCTCACTCCGGCAAAAAGGATAGGTTATGTCCCTCATAGAACCCACGGTGTAGTGTTACCTGCGGAACCTAACTGACAGTTTTATGACCCGGGGGATAGGTAGGGCACGGCCGCGCCACCGGCGACGTGCGGGTTAGGCCCATCACATGCCGGCACTAAGACGGCGGTGGCACTCGTTTACATCGTGCCACCACGCACCCTTGGTCCGTCTCGCGTCGGTCATGTGACTGTGGCGTTTAATGTTAGGGTTTTAGGCCTCCGCAGGCGTGTGCACTGGTCAGTGACGGAGACGGGAATGACCAGCCAAGACGGATGATGCCGGTGTGCGTCAGACATATGCCACCACTGAACGAGACATGGATTAGATTAATTGGTTGGGAAGTGGAAGCTATGGGATTTTAAGGAGTTTTTTTTTTTGGGGGGGGAAGGTTTTTAAACGCTCGGCGAGACGTAATTGTGTTGCAGTGACCTGAGCAGCTTTGGGGCCAGTTTTCTTTTGTCATGTTCGGCGATGTCATGGGTCTGACATTTAGTATGCTTACATTTAACGAGCTTCTGTACACCACTGGGGGGAAGTTAGGAAAATAGGGAGGGATCAGACTGGAAATCTGACATTTTATATGTGTGCAAGGGATGTGAGTGAGAGCATGGGTGAAGGATGATTGTGTGGAAGCATGGATGTGTTATATCCAGTGGGAGTTATCCACCTCCGTGCAGTTGCCGTAATGTCAAGCGTGTTCCGATGTTACACGGTAAAAAAAATGTTTAATGGGGGGGGGGGGTCCCAACCGGGTTGAGAGAGAGCCTCGGGCAGCCAACCTGAGTAAATTATCCTCTTTGAATGCCCGTAACCCAATGACCCATCACTGTACAGTTGTAGCAGCCTATATGCCCCAGTGACTGACCAGCCTCGCAAATCAAATAAACAAATAATTATCTTGTAGCTGAGCCCCGCTACACGAATATCTACCAAATTTCACCGAAAAATATTCACCGGTTTTCAAGATATTAGACTTTTACTTTTGTTTACTTTTTTGGGATCTCCGCTGTTTCTAGCGACTTTATTTTAGAAGTGCGGCGTTTGCGGCAGATGTTGCGCGCAAATAGCATATACCACCGCGTGCTACAAAACGTTTTAGTCAAACATTTAAAAATCGTTAGATATTTGCGCTGACGTCACACATTCAGAGGGGTATTCCTAAGCATTAGCCCCTCTGAATCAAAATGCTGCAATTTTGAAATTCAATATTTCCGATTTAAGGGATTTCTCGATGTTGTGAGTGCCGAAACCGGTAATTGTGAGCCAGGGACCCCATTTTGGCTATCTCAACTCAAATCTAATGTTAAGGTGGGAGGGTCCCTTTAAATTCAACATCATGATATGGATTTTAAAGGGACCCTCCCACCTTCAAAAAAGTTAATGAATTGGCATGAAAGTGATGTCGCTCGGTTCAGAAAGAGCAAAAACGAATATCTACCAAATTTCATCGAAAAATATTCACCGGTTTTCAAGATATTAGACTTTTACTTTTGTTTACTTTTTAGGATCTCCGCTGTTCCTAGCGACTTTATTTGAAAGTGCGGCATTTGTTGCGCGCAAAGCAGCATATACCACCGCGTGCTACAAAACGTTTTAGTCAAACATTTAACGGACGTTCGAAAGCCTGATGACGTCATCAGATTCCCGTAATGGTTAAGAGATAGGGACCACGCTGGTCCCACCCTGCAAGTAAAGGGAAGAAATTTCTTGAACACCATAAAGCTGCGGGGGTTGCGACCAGGATAAATGGTGGTTTCTGAGCCTGGCCGCAAACTTGGCTATCTCAACTCAAAACTAATGTTAAGGTGGTAGGGTCCCTTTAATAGAACGGTCCGGAGTCGGAGTCAGAGTTGGAGTCGGCGTCGGAGTCGGAGTCGATTTTTGAAGCCGGAGTCGGAGTAGGAGTCGGAGTTAGGGGAGAGTGGGGTAATTTGGCCGTTTTTTTTAGAAAACGATATAACTTAAAATTGACGACACATTTCTGCATTTTCTCAACGCTGGCAGGTGTCGCATTCATTTTACTTTACTGGACTGTGAACTTGAAATGATAGAGTAATTACTTATATTGAAATTGTGACGTATTACAAAGGTCTGCAAGGCGGCCAAATTGCCCCACTAGCAGGGTTATTTGGCCGGGGGTGTGGGGTAATTTGGCCGGTGTTAGTTTGCGGTCGGGATTTTCTGTTATATTGCGAGTCAGCTTCAGATTCAGCAATGACGTGTGTCCTATGACGCATTTGCCGCATTTTGGAGGTTGGCTCAGGGGTCACAGGGGTCAAAATAGCCAAATTAGCGGCTCTAGATGCGATCACAGTTTTTTACGAATAACTTTTGAAGTAATCAAGCTAGGCCAAAACTTCGAGTACCATCGTAATTCACTCGTCAGTCCGCATCGAAAGATATATGTGTTGACCTTGAGAAGTCAAGGTCAAAGGTTGACCTCAGGTCACGTTGCATCAGGTCGCTTGACCTCAAGGTCACGTGATTTCAAGGTCATCATGCATATCATTCGATGCGCCGTGGCGAGCTGAACAGAATGAGACCATTTGTGCGGCTGTACCATTTTTATGTAAGGATTTATTAGCAAAAAACGTTTGGTAACCTTTGATGACGTCACATGCTCTTACAGTTGACCAATCGGAAGTAAGGCATCAAAGTAGTCAAAGTTGGTCATGAATCATGTCATTTATGGTACAATTGACCATGAAAACTCGGCCGTCCCAGCATAGTGACCATGAGCGCACCGGCCAAGTTGCCCCGCTAGTCCCGGCCAAATTACCCCACATTGCCATTCTGAAAATTTTTGTCTATAAAGTCATCACGGCTTTACGGAATTAGATAAAATTGCTCTTGGAACCGCTGAACACCCCCAAGAATGGCGCTATAATGTCTGAATTCGTTTTTAGCCCAAATACTACATGTTATACAACTTTGTAAACAGAAGTAAAAGTTACCATTTTCTAATGAAATTAACGTTTTATTAATTTTGAATAAAACTACGAGGGGCAAAGTTTTGACATTTGTCCTCCAGTTATTTCTACCCATGACAAATGAATAGAGACTAGAGTTATTTCACTCACTTTTATTAGACATCGTACAGGTGGGGGCGGCCAATTTACACCACCGGCCAAATTACCCCACTCTCCCCTACCCTAAAACCTATCGACTCCGCAGCCCTGGTTGTTTCACAGCGACACAGCTGGAGTGTGCATACATTTTACTGACGATAGCATGTCGTCAATTCTTAACAAAGCTGCTCATTAATATTCAGTCGTGATTAGACTTTCACGCTGTTGAATGGCTATAACTCAGTTTAATAGGCAGCCTTCCTCATTTGCCGCAGAATTATGTTTCGTAAATATTAATGGAACATTCATGCATGCTTCTATCTTGTTCCGAGAGGATAGCAGCATCGTTTCCGACGAACCATGAACACATTACGCCGCTAGATGAGCAATCATTTCAGGCGCGGACCCACCAATCTAAGCCACCCACGCACCTGTGGACGAATTTCCGATCGGCTAGATAACTGAGAGCGCACGCCACGTCTCTCGCCATCGATGTGAGGTTCTTGTCGGATATTTCTCCGCATTCATCCTTGGGGTTCCGACGAGACAGCAGGAATGTCTTGAGGTCGCCTGCAATATTGTCAGGGTGTTAGTATAAAAAGATGCGTAACATAAGTGCATCTTTTATCAGATGTAAATACGCTGGCCATTATCATAAATATAATAATAGTTGACTTTATTCCCAAATGCTGACTTCCCCATATGTGGCTGCCTGGTACGATTTACAGACAGCTACTGAGCCGAAATCTCCAAAGGTGAAACACGTAGGCAAGCATGGAGATCGGTCATCAACAACACCATTTTCTGACAGCAAAACTCCTGCCAGCAGTGATAAAAAGGGTTTATAAAACTCTCGCTCTGGTGAGACCTATGATTGACAGCACGAAATTTTATTCTGGGTCCAGGAAGTTGAGTTGCATGGAGTAGAATGGGCCCCTAACAGCACGGACTAACTTCCTCTTTCGTTCCCGCTAACTCGCTTTAGAGCAAAGCTGAACCTCCAACCGAGGTACAACACCAAATGGAAACGGCGAGTCCTAACTGATCCCGTTTGGAGAAAGTGCTTTGGAGCAGAATCATTTCGGGAGCGTTCCACTTCGAATGAAGCGTCGTGAAATTGTGTCGGGCGAACATGGGGCGAACAACTTTTTCCTGAGTGCTTGTCTGTTTGTCCTCAGTCCTCCTGACCTTTACTGCTGCTAAAGACTTTGGCCAATCAGAATTTACTACGGGGTAAGGAGAAATGCTCAAAGGAAACGTTTAATGACGCATTGAGCACGGAGCACTTTCAGAGACATGATGTCAAAATCGCACACAAGTCAGCAAATGATCGATATCAGTCTGGAGACATCGATTCGAGGGCGAGGGCCACAAACCCTCGCCCCGACTTACCGTGCAGCATGAACTCCATAACGGTCAGCAAGGGTTCAGCAAGAGTGCAGACGCCCAGCAGCCGCACGATGTTGGTGTGGTCGAAACCCTTCATGATGTCCGCCTCCCGCAAGAAGTCCTGCTTCTCCTCCAACGTAGCGTTCAACTTCAGCGTCTTCACGGCTACAGAACACTGGAGAATACAAGTCCAAAACGTCACCGTGCTGGGACACATGTTCAATCCGTGAAATCGCCTTTGCGAGATCATACATCAACAGTTGTCATGATAACGTCAGTAAATGAACATTCATCATCAAAATAAGACAGTTCGCTGGACTGGGTACGACAAATGTGACAGTAACCGGGCACCCAGACGTGCGCAGTACCCCATCCGCGCTTCATTAACCCGGCCGGGCCCGGGGGGTAATCCCAACCACCGCAGCCCGGGGGGGGGCGTTTTTCGCCCCCCCCCCCTGTCTAACTCCGTAAATAAGGGAGCTACGGAAACAAAAGCGATACCAAACGAAAGGTCCTTACGAGACGATTCTAATGCACCTAAAATTTTTGACCTCAGGTCAATTTTCAAGGTCAGAGGTCAAGGTCAAAGGCCAAAACCGGCACATGTGTAGTGATCTCAAAGTAAGCCTTCTAGAGGACGGCAGGCTGCATCAAACCGGCAAAATTGGGTGTCAAACGAAAGAAGAGAATCTGAGGATTCTGAAAATGTGCTCCAAATCAAAGGTAAAGGTCAAGGTCACGCTCAAAATTGACCTCAAACTTGGCACTTTTTCGCACATCTTGCGTGCTAACTTCCAAGATGTTTTGAAATGTTTTGAGGCTTATCAGTTCCCTATTTGTGGTTCATCTTACGATACAAGGCTGCTCAAAGGTCAAGGTCACAGAAGAGTATCCCTGCTAGAGGCTATTTCACTGATTCAAGTTAGTAATAATAAATAAGACAATTTTGCCATCCGGAAGCTCTAAATGAAGGCTTAGAGGAAAATAGATGCCAGATTCGTGATCAGCGGGTACAAATCCATCATAAACGACCTTTCATGTGTCAAGGTCAACCAGAGGTCATTCGAGGTCACATGAGGTCAACATGAAACTTGACCTTTTCCGAACAAAATATATATCATTCGACGCGGCTTGACAAGGCGAATGCGATGGTACCACTGCCGAAGCTCTAGGACCATTTTTGTCGAAGTTATTTGCGAAAAAGTAAAACCACATTTCGGGGTCGTTGACCTGACCTCTGACCTCAGGTCACCAAAACTATTTTCCTATTTTTATCTAGGTCAAACGCTACACAGTCGTGCTCGTAATTTGTCTTTATCTCTAAAACTCTATTTTTAGCAGCTATTTGAAGTTTGCGTCTGTGACGCCGATTTTTGCCGTGCAGGGGTCTAGGAAAATGGACCTTGTGACGTCATCAAGGGGGCTAGGTCCAAATTTTTTACTTCAGAAGATGTCAAATTGATGGAAGAAAAGGTACTGAAAGTTTCGCCTTCCTATCCCTAAGCGTTCGGGAGTTATCGCAAATATTCGCCAGGGGGGGCGAAAAACGCCCCCCCGGGCCCGCGAGGGTTCAGGAAGTGCGCAGCACCGCAGCACGCCCCCCCCCCCCATCCACGTCCGGCGGACCCCCTGCCCCCCCTCTGAGGGGTCCACCGGAACGAGCCGATTGGAGAGCCGATCAGGCACAGGGCCGGGTCGGGTCGACAGAATGACAGGCTCACTAAATACCTAATCGTCTCCGGTGCACAGCGTTAGGCCTCCGGCGAACTCCATGCAACGACGATCCGTGTAATTCGGCGATCCGTGTAATCCGTGTAATTCGGGCGCAGTGGAACCAGATGGCACGAAAATCCACTCGCCATAACGGCCATCAGGAGATAATATGGACCAAAACATGACGGGGCGCTTAATCGCATCCACTGATCTCAGAGCATTTACGGAGAACTGGAGGCCCGAGGTCATATCAATCACAAATATAACAATAGACACTGCATAGTGCATATCTATTGTTTACAAATATTAGGCCTCGTTATGCAAAAGCTACCCCAGTAAGTTGATGGTTGAGGGAGATAAATTTATGCAGTATTCGTCATTTTTATTTCGAAGTTGTTAAAAATTCTTCGAACCCTTCGAATCCCCACGTTTCCTGACGTCGCAATCTAAACAGTAAACACACTAGCATTTGACGCATAATTCTTCATAATATTTTGCAGTCCCGTGGTTTTCGCTTATTATTTGATGTTCCAGAAGGCTCTGTTTGGGTTGTAATACTTGATAAAAAAGATTGTTCACTTACGCCTATTCATGTTGTATTTTGAGCGGAATGCGTGCTCCCGGGCTCTCGTCTCGGCACCGAGGCAACCAACAAGCCCGGTCCCCAGAAAGGCATGCTCGACGCGTCTGCCTCCTACGCGTCCCACGGCTCGCTCAGTGCCAATTTCGGCTCTCTTCACGGCTCACCGCACAAAGGAAGCGGCTGGGAGCGGCGTAGCGCAGCTCCGGGCTGTACCAATAACCCTCCTCTCCAGCGCCACGGAGCGTCACTGACCACCAGGACAAACTCGGAACTCCTCTCGCTTTCAGGGCAGCTCTAATCACGGTCCCTCACGTAATATCGGCTCTCGCTCGCGGCTGCCACCGGCGCAAAGACGGTCACACATCAACAGCCCCAGGAGACGTGGCCGCGCATGAAGACTGAGCTATTTTCGAGAGCCGATTGCGCCCCCGAGCTGCTGTCCTCAGCGCCGCTGACAACAGTGGACGGACGTGCCAACACTGTCCTGAGCTCGCCGGGAAAGCTGATCAGTGGAATCCGGCTCCAACACTCCGATACGGGCTGAGCTCAGTGGACATTTTTTACAGACAGCGGTCTATAAATAAAGACTTTTTACAAACAGAGAGGCTCAATGTATCAGTACGCAGGCGATATCCAGCATAAGTTTTGCAGAGCTCTCTCTTTCTCTAATAAGGGTGTCATCCAGAGCAATACCTCGCGGTCGTTCGGTTGTCTGCTTCCATTAGGGGTCCGCGCCATGCCATATCACACGCCTGATTGAGGGCGGAAATGGGTCGTCTAATTAAGCCAGGATGACGTCCCACCCCTGCCGGAGTCCGTCACATAGCTATAAATGGCCCGCTTCATTACTCAGTGAATTGATCATATGGGTGCCATGTAAATTGAAAATAGAAAAGAACCTATTCAATTTTATTGATCGCATGCTCAAATTCGTAATAAGAAATGAATCGTATCCGTTCAATCAAATGCGGTTTACCTCAAACCTCGCTTGGGATCGCAGATTCCCACATCGTGCCGTGTAGGATTTGCGTGATTTGAACATGGCCCTGCTATTTGTAAACAATATCACAGCGAGAAAATTGCTATCCTCGATTATCATCAAAAGGCTATGCAAATATGCAGCCAGTCATTTTTAACGGAAGCAAATAGTTCCGGTGCCGTCATTATGAACGATCAAACGTCAAATTGTGGGTTCTTGCGGCTCACGCTGCATGTTCCTATAGTAGCACTGTTACCCATGGACTGGCCAGAAGATCTATAAAAACGGCACGAATAAAGCTCAGTTAGGTATACATCCCTGTTGGTAACAAATGTCAGTTGAAGTTCGCGCACCTATGAGGCTGGGCCTAAAAGCCAGTCAGACTATTACCTATACCAACTTTTGTTGATAAGCGTTTAGGAAGGCCTTTAAATTAAATATTCATTTGCTTTAAATTAAGAATAAAGTTAAAATTGAAAAAAAACGATATAGAGCCCGACGTTTCGCATTTATTGCTTATTCATGGGCAACTGAGAATAAGCAATAAATGCGAAACGTCGGGCTCTATATCGTTTTTTCAATTTTAACTTTATTCTTAATTTAAAGCAAATGAATATTTAATTTAAAGGCCTTCCTAAACGCTTATCAACAATTGTCAATCTATATATACTCTATACCAACTTTGTTTCTTGACGGGAAAAGTGCAAAGGTCATTAGGTACTCGAACATTGCGTGAGTGTTTCAAAGAGCACGTCGTATAGAACCCAATGATTGCGATGCGACGAGACCACCTGTTTAGCACCTGTTTGTCACGATCTATTCTACATAGGTTGATGTGGTAGAATGCCGGAGTTACGAAATAAAAAAATAACGAGAAAAATGAAACAAGGTGTCCTGATGAGGTCGACGCTGAAGTGTTTTCTCTGGCATGTTATCTACCGAAACATTGTTGAAAGAGTGGCAAAGCAGTTCTAACATATAACAAACGTTGAGAAACGAGAGATTGACTTGAAAACGAAAAGCATGCAGTCACAGGACTACCGAAGAACAAAATGTATCTCATTAACTGTTCAAAAATCAAATCGTATGTTTTTAGTGGTTCCTCAATCCTCACACTATGCACACTCACCCATTCCTCCGGCTGCTCGGCGTTCTGCACACGTTTCTTGTCCGGCTTTCCGCCGGCTTCTCCCCTTTCCCGATCCTTCACGAGCAGTGCCTCGCCGCCGTACACGGTGCCGAACGCACCCTCTCCCAGTTTCCGGTTCGTCACGATGTTCTCCCTCTTCAGTTCCCACTCGGGCGAGTAGGCCACCCAGTTACCAAGGCCCATCTCCTGTAGCCGTAACATCTTGCGCTCGTACCTGGCCAGAAGAGGAGAAAGTTTGTTGGCTTATTAGCAATCACTGTTCAGCTCTTTGCCTCTTTTGACAGATGAACATGGTAGAAAACGAGCTACGTAACAAGGAAACACTCGCCGTCAAAAGTTACACACGTGATAAAAAGTTGTACTGTTCGAGAGATAGCTAGAAAGAGATAGTCCTTCAGACAGGGTTCCGAATTTTTAGGCGTAATTAACATTTGCATGGGCCTACCTATATGCTGCAGCGTTGAGCTGCAAAGAAGCTTTTTCGTTTCAATATGATCGCAGAGTGGAAAAGGTTCTTTCAGCCATGCATGACAAGAAAACCAAGCTTCATTCTTTCGCTAAAGCTTCTCCTCAACTTAAAACAGCTCAAGCAAAGGCGCACGTTCCCCACCTTCTCTTATAGAATAGTGCGCAGATGAGGAAGAGGAGTATGACGGGCAGCAGGCCGACCACGTTGGCCACGATCATGGCATCCTGGCAGCTAATGTCCAGCAGGTCTGCCAGGGGCTGGAGGTCACACGGGGGGCTGGAGCCGTCCACCGGCCGCAGGCCGTTCGGAGTCAGCCAGCGGATCTTGGATTCGTCCATTTCCAGTCTGCAGAGGCCAGAGGAAGGCGTCAGCCAACAGGAGTTGATATCGTAATCTGTATGTATCTATGTATTGACATCAAATGTCACCCATATATAGCGTGACGATTACTGCTATCTGGGTATATCAGGGAGTGAGGTGGCGAAATCGCACGAGCATTTTTCACCTGATCGTGTCAGAATCAAGGCAGCTGGACGCAAGTTACAGGTTTTGATAGTCTCGTCCCCGGCTAGTTTCGTCAAAGGAGCTCAAATCTCACTTAAGTGACAATAAAGGCTTCCTCTGGTATGGCATGACCAGGACCACCACCTATACTCATGCCTATACCTGTCCTGAGGGGATGTCTTCCTCCCACTTCCCAAACCCATTCTCATCCCTCTGGTATGCCAGGGACCTTCAAAAACCCACCCGCCTCCCGCGGGTATGCCAGGGATCCTCAAATACCCACCTGCCTCCCTCCGGTATGCTGTGATCGGGGTAGAAGCGGCCGACCACGTGGTAGCCGGTGCTGTCTCCGTCCCTGCGCCACTGTTTGACCTCCGTGACACTGACCCGGGACGGACCGACGAAGCGCAGGTGGCCCGACACGCCGTGGAAGTCGGTCACGTTCAGCAGCTCGACGAGGCGACTGGCGACGGATGGAGCTAGATGTCAGGATGACCTTTACACACAGCACACACAACACACCTCATATGGATCTCGGATGCCTTCGACATGTTTATAGTTTTGCCACTTTAACTCATCTCTTAGCATGGATCTCGAAGCCTTACCCGAAGTAATAATGAATGTTTTGAACGCTTTAACTCAAAATTAAGCAAGCAATTTCATAAATCAGGGGAGCGAATGTGTCGTATTCATAAGGATAAGCACGCATTTTAAAGAAGATACAACCCGCCTTTCACGGCCGTTGAGCATACTGTCAAAGAGCATGTGACGTTCGTTTCGTACATTGTGGTGTTGTCTCTATGGAGGTCTTGGTATCGCGATGACTGCTCACGTAACAGTTTATCCAGCGCCAAGGCGTACGTCCACGTAGCATCGTAAGCGTAACTGGCGTACTTTGACTTCGTAACATTTAGCTGAAAAAAGGGAAAACGCATCTCAAACTGGATAATACAGCCCTGAGTTGCTTCCTTGAATTTTCATCGACATGACGACGGAAAATTTATTTCTCCCAACACATACGATGAGCTATAAAATAACAATTAATGGCCACCGAAGGGGCCAAGCCAACACATACATAGCTGAGGACGTTTCGCATATGGCGATCGTTGTAACGACAGGTAAGAAGATGCCACGAACTTACGAAATAAATGGCACTCATGCTGAAAAATATTACCATGTCATGGAAAATTGATTACCTGTATGCAGCCACCAAGTTGGTCATTAGCGCCCTGCCATATTTTGCATTCATGTTCTAGTTAACAAAAATATGCATTTTTAATATGGAAAGTTTGCCGGAACCAATTAATAAGCGAGCGTTTTAAGTGCAGACGGTCACGAACTGTCTGATGTTTAGCACTAAGTCAATCACTGATTTAATTTACCGCTGGGAGATAATTGACGCATCGATCATGGCATCAGGGCCATCAATTGACGATTTATTTTCAAATATAAAGCGTGAATAACCCACAATCACCAACCTTGGAGCATTGAACCTCGTAGAGTTCCTTCCAGCGACTGACAGTGATGTTTTCCTGCATGATGGACTCGTTACTAGCGTAGTCGGCATGTGCCAGCGCCAGGTGACCGTCCAGCGCCTGAAATGGATGTGAGGTGAGGCATCGCACCAGCGAGGATACGTAACATAGTATTAGGTAAGATATAGGAACTCTCATTACATACTGTGACGATACCAGCTGTACCTAATGATAACTTTACTATCGTCTCACCGAACTCGAAATTTGGAAGCGTAATCTGCATCTCTCTTCGTAAACGTTATAAGGAAAATAACACATCATTACGTTGTCGCTAACACACATCCATCCTGCCAGGAATTAGCAGAATGGATATATGTCATTACGTTATCGCTTACACATATCCATCCTACCAGGAAGTAGAATGGATATGTGTATAACATCAAGATACTACTAGGAAGTCAGCAACGGAGGAGCAATGAGCTACACCGACTTCCTATTCCTGTCCCTCGCTCGTTAATTTGTCACCACTTGTAGGCACTTCATCAGAAGAGGTTGTCCCAACGGAATTAGCACGACAGCTCTTGGGAGGAGCAGCGACTACCTCTCAATATAACCTGCGTCCACCAACATGCCCTGCGTCAACCATCCTCTGAAGAGTACGGCACCACTACCAGTACCTATCAGTCCAGTGTTTTCCCAATACTGCCCAACCAAGAGACAGCGCCGCTAAATCAAATTTCCTGTGATGCGTTCATCAATGGGATGTGTGCGTACTGCTGCGTAGGTGCCGTAAGAAAGCACGTCTGTGTGCGTGTGCGTGAAAGTCCACTTCCAGCAAGGAAAGCGTAAATAGGGGAGGCAAGGAAACGCTCTCAATGGAAAACTGGTTGAATAATCGAATTTATTTTGAGGGATGCATAGTGTTTATAAACGTCAATTCACTAAGTACACGAAGTCCTCACTCTACGTTAGTTATCAATCACTATATAATCCGACTCACAAGGTATATTGGGAGGCTCCTAAAGACGAAGCAACTGGTATGCACCTAAGAAACGTTTCTCTAAAGCATTGCGTCCATCGAAGACTTACGCGGAAACCAGTACCTGCATAATCTGATCGATGGAGCACCGTTTGTTGTTGCCGGAGAAGGCGGGCGTGTTGAACCAGCCTCCGGAGAACCATTCCGGCAGGAACCAGAGGTAACCCTGAAACGAGAAGACACCACACGTGTCTCATAGGTGGTATATGCTATCATGAAAAGCTTCGATTTATTTCAAATATTTAAAGAATACAAATGGTATACTTCTGCGCACGAGCAACAGCAGCAAAGACAGAGCGAGAGAGCGAATGAAGTAGAAGGGAAGAAAGCAAGAGAGGGAGGGAGGGAGAGAGAGAGAGAGGAGAGAGAGAGAGGAGAGAGAGGAGAGAGAGAGAGAGAGAGAGAGAGAGAGAGAGAGAGAGAGAGAGAGAGAGAGAGAGAGAGAGAGAGAGAGAGAGAGAGAGAGAGAGAGAGAGAGAGAGAGAGAGAGAGAGAGAGAGAGAGAGAGAGCTTGAACGAGAGAGCGGGAAATGAGACGGGAAAATCTGTTCGCCTAGCCAAGGGCTTTTTCTCTCGTTCTGCTGTCTCTAGATCTTGTTGAGTCGGGCTTGTTTGACCCCGATAGCGTCCACACTTTACGTGACTGGCGTGTCAACGTCTGCCAGTTGTCACCAGCTGCGACACACGTTTCCTGTCCTATGCGAGTTGACGTATAAAAAGTTGAGTTGCAGGCTTGATTGGACGAAAGCTTTCAAAAGACAGATGTGTTTACCGCTGCCATACGCAGCGAATATTCAGTGTTAGGTCGTCGCAAGAACCACCCATTTCTCGTAAGGACAGGTCGCTGGAAAACGAACTTTTTATACAGTGATAAATGTTACTTTCATGCCGCAACTACGTCGACTCCGCAAATTTGTAAATACGCCATGAACAGACACCAAACGGTTAATCGCTGATTGAGCAATCCTGCCTATAATTTTTCACTCTTGTGTGCTACTGGTGCTTTACACAACACAACAAGGCAGGACCGTAACACCTACCTCCTTTGCAGTCATGTTCTGGTGGTATGCCTCGCACATGATGGCTCTTGCGGCCACTTGATACATGTCAGCGATGATAATTCGCGCATTCTGCTCCCTCAGATCCTTCAGATACTGAAAGAAAACGCAACGGGTGAACTTCACGCAATTCATGAAATGCGCTTCGGTAGACAAATCATCTGCAATGTTTCAAAAATTGAATAATTGGCACCAATTTAGAGACGCATTTTTATTTGGTGGATGGTCAATATGCGTGTGAAAGACCGGGTCCGGGACTATGCATCATTACCTGAGGAATGCACCACTCTTCGACTATTGAATGATTATTATGGTCAGGAAGCAATTTGTAAACTCTCAATCCCTTCCCACCTAAAAAGGAAAAAAATGAGGAACGGAAAACGCCTCGCCCGACGGAAGATGGAATCGCGTTGGGTTCACGATTTCTCTCGGACATCTTTCAACAGCTAGGAGTCTGAGGGGATGGTTGGTTACCCCGACGGCACCACCAGCAGCCGTCCGCCCACCCTGCACCATTTAGCCGGTCGTCTCGACCAGGCCAGTCGGTGTCGGGAGCACAGGTTTGGTGTCGTAACCACCGCACTGTCCATGGTATAAATACGGCCGGTCGGCCGGTGGAGGCGACGGCTCTCGTTACCCAGCGAGCGGAGCCGTACAGAGCTGGGTGGACTGGGACACCGGCCGGCCGAGGGCGTAATTGGCAACACGAGGCTGGCGCCGACGGTGAACCGGTGAAATGAAACTGGAAAGTCGTATCTCAATTCTGAACCATGTGTTACGCCTAAATAAATATCCAGCCTCGTGGCGCAAAATAATCTTATTATATGTTTAAGCTCATAGTGACATATATGGCAAAAGTCAATTATTCAAAATAATTTATATTAGGACCAAATTTGGTCCTAATATAAATTATTTTGAATAATTGACTTTTGCCAATCTTATTATATATATGATCGACACTGGCCAATATATTTATGTGATATATCCGTAAGTACATTTCACCGTAGCCCCCGAAATTCAAATTTGCCGAGTACACAAGTTGTATGATGAAACTAGCCAAAACGGACATCAATGTAACCGTGTACCTAATGGCAAATACATTCCAACGAATCTCTACTGGGAGCATAAACATGTCAATCACTAAAGCATGGCTGCCTGTTATAACCGATAAACCTGGCAAACATCTATGTATATGCATACGGAGCCTGGGCCGTGAGCGGGATACACTCACAGGCGTCATATTGATCGTGTCACTCGGGAACTTTCTGTTGGAGACGAAAGTGACGCCCGATTCCTGCAGCATGTCGTGCAGCAGCGATATGTACTCGGAGTACTTCTGGCCGGCTTCGGTCAGCGAGGCGACCCGCTTGAACTGCAGCTGCTTCAGGAGCTGCTTATAGACAAACCTGCCGGAGTGGATATACGGCTGCAGCGATATTTTTTGGCACATTGTAATACATCTGCCAAACCAATCGCATACCGGGCTTCGGTAAATAAATGCGTCGGTGTACGTTCAGGGCTTATTGAGAAGCATTTAAAAAAAAAAACCTAAGTCTTTGAATGCAATGGAGGCACTATTTCAGCCTAAGCTACTGCAGTCATTTATCGGTGATACCTACGGCTCACCTGAACTGTTTGTTTTCGCCAATAGTGCGGAAGAAGTACGGATACTGCGTCCTATTGGTGAGCAGTACGCCCTCTGCGCTGAACGAAATGACCACTACCTTGAAGTGGCGAGCCACACCCACTATTGGCTCCAGAGTGTTAGAACAGGCCGGTCCTGCCAGGCAAAAGTCAGTACAGGGCAAATCAAAGCACTCTGGCCAGCTTCATTTATCGTGAAATTAAGATTTTGCGATAGCGGTATCAGGATTTTGTAACGGCGTATGTGGCAACGCTCGCTTTATTGGAACGTATACAATAATACTGAACTTGTCAATGCATTTATAATAATCAGCACTGGGGTTTGGACACTTGGCTACGTTTTTACCCCTGCCATTGCCGGAATACTGTTGGTTATGTTATTCGTCTAGCATCCTCGGTGAAATTGTCTCGGGAACGAAAAGCAATCCAGGGTGATAACTGATCTTATCTCCCCACATCGGACTAACCTAGAACGCCGGCCATCTGTGGGAAGATGGGCATTCGCAGATAGTTGATGAACGTCTTCATCACCATATCGGCACTGCACTGGCCGTCACTGATCAGCAGGTCCATCTTGTACTCGCTAAGCAGGCTCGTGTTTCTGTTGATTGCATCGATGGCCATCATCACCGCTGGAAAAGGGACAGCTCGATATTCATCGTCCATGGACGAAAAAATAGGGAAAAGTATGCGCGTTGTGTAACTATTCATAACAGCTCGAAAATTCGTTGATTGGATGATGACAAATGATTTGCTGTAAACGTCAGGCTTCCACTGCGTATGGCTGGCGCAGTTCATTTCGTGTTACCACTGTTTGAGTTACCCAAGGTGACCAGCAGAACTTGTCCAAAGCTACCAACACATGTTCCTTGTATTGAACACCACCAGACAAGGCGATAATGCACGCATTGGGCACGGCAAACATGCTAAACGCGGACAATGGAGCCATGCGGGCAGGCACGTACCCACCATAGCGGCACAAAAACTCCAATCGATATCAGCACACAAAAACTCCATCAATCCACCGCTATCAGGCCCAGGCAGGTCCTGATATCCCCTACATCCTACGTGCGATTGCAATTACACGCATGACTAGTGAAAGGTGCTACAAAACACTATTATTACATTATTACTTTACGGTTTATTGATGTGCTACCTACACAGCTGCCATTCTGGACGTCGAAAAAGAAAAGAACGGGCATTGCGCAAAGCTATTTGTGGTTGAGCTGAAATCAACGGTTAAAGTGAGTTTGTCATTAGTTGAGTGAAAAAGGTTCAGGTTACGCCTCACCCTCCATATCAGAATAAAATGCTTCCGATGTTCGCACAGCATCACGAGTGGATAAAAAAAGACTCGGGCGGATTCAAAATGACGGAGGTCTGCTATCCTCGCCAAAAGTGAAAGAACAACAAGCTGCGTAGACCGGGACAATTTCATCAATGGCAACAACATCTTTTCTAACTATTTTTGCCGGGAAAGAGACCATTTAGTGCTTCATTGCAAAACACTTCACTTGTGAAAACCTTCAATTCTGCTGACGATGGCCATCATGTGGACGATTTGGTCCATTTACTATTTAGACCAAACGGGCGACCGGCGATGTTGTGTCTGTTATAGACACATTAGAAATGTGCTGCAATTCGATTGGGTCGCGGATTTGCGAGAAGCTGAAGCCTGGCGAGTATAGAGCACATACGAGTGAGCTCAAATGACCTAATTAGGTCACGCTAATGACTGCAGGTTTGCATCGGCGATGGCGTTTCAAAGCGACAATATAGCGTATCATTAGTTGATGGAAATTGATGATGAGCACGATGTTGTGACAACCATGGGCAGTCATTTGTGACAACCAGGCAGACATTGAAGCCGTGAATCGTTTAGCTGATTTATCACAGTTCGTTTGTCTAATGACCGAGTGAATTTAAAATAATTTGGTCTTACATACTTACCTGTGAAAATTTTGAAAATATAATAGAGGAGATAAAAAGTCGGTTTTATGTATGCAATGAAAAACGCGTATCATTGTTGCGCATCATTCATAAGGCGCGCATTTAGCAATGCATAGAGTTGTTGTCTATCTATGGTTGCCTTCATTGAAAAGTCTCCCTTAATCCGCCATGTAACCGTCCTTACCGGGAATGACACCGGGGTCCTGGTAGCTGCTGCCCATGATGGGGAATATGCCGCCGAGGTAGATCATGTTGGTGGGTCGTATCCTGCTCAGCCACTGCTCCATCAGGGTGATATTGTTACGCCTCATCCAGTCGCAGGCCACCCGGCCAGGGTTGAAGGACGGGGTTGACAGCGCCATCAGTTCCTCAAACTGCGACTGGGAGAGACGAAAGTCCGCCAGCGCCTGGTGAAGCAAGAGGGGAGAGTTTTAGGAGTTAGAGCTAGGATAATACAAAATCCTTCAAGGCCCCAATAACAATTTTATTCGAAATATACCTTTGAAACAGTTCGCATGACGTCAACCTCCTTGCAACGGAGTCCAATAATATTTATCAACGAACCAAAGTTCATTCAAATTCAAGTCCAATCTGATCTTTTATTGCATATAATATTTCCTCAGCTCCCTCCCGACACATCTCAACCCTAAATTATATTTCATCTTACCTTATATGCCAGACCAGCAGCCTCCTTCAGTCCGCTCCAGGCCAGTTTCTTCAGGTAGCGGGCGCCGGTGGGGCAGGTGCTGCCTCCCAGGCACGGTGGGAACGCCACCTCCACGTAACTCGAATGGAGCGTGAGCGGGCTGGGCGCGTGATGCGCAAACAGCACGGGTCTGGAACACACAGCGAACGTTGGGGATGGAGTGATGAGGAGTTGGAACGTTGGAGCTATGCTGCTGGACTGTTGAAACGTTGATAAAAGCTCTAAAGGGATTCGCACTGACGCCGATGGAAGATGACGGCCCGACCACTGGTTTCTGCAGATAGCGTTTACGAGAGAGCAAAAACAGCAACAGCACGATGACGATAACATTTTGATTTTAAACTATCATAGGGTACGCGTGCTACAGCGGCACTCAACAGCATGATAACATCAACAACAACTTAAGCAAAATAGCAGCTGTTATGTCAACATTGACCAGAGAAAGATGAGTCTTACTCGTTGTTGTCAGTCCTTTGCCTCACGATGTCCCCCAGGTTGTCTCCCACCCAAAACACTCGCACTTGAAGGTGGTACTTCAAGATAAGCTCGATCACATAGCCAGATTCATCTGAAAACAACCACATCGCGGGAAATAACAGTCGCTCCTGTCACCTGAAAAAGCAAGGATATTTGGCATTTGCTCACCTAAATGAGATCGCAAATGACTTGTGTTTACAAATCTAATCTATCCCATTGTGAAATTCGAACAGGTGGAATGACTAGTTAAATTCGATCGTTATTTTATCAGGATTGTGCATTATTTTTCATATTACGCTATAGATAGTTATGCCTAAAAACAAAAACACATTCAAATTTAAACAGGTAGATAGTCCTTCCCATGCACCATTATCCTCCCTCTAGATAGCATGCTGCTGAGTGGAGATCCCACTATTCCACTTACTCGAGGTAGAGGCGAGCAGAACAGCGCAATGATTTCCACGACATGCATCAGGAACGAATACACCATCCACGCAACGAGCATCTTCACAGTTGTACCTGGCGGAAAACACGCCGAGCCATTGCAACCATTGTAACCACTGCTCAGCCTAATCCAACCTAGCCTAACCCAGGGCGTAGCTTGAGATTACACACAGGAAAGATTTAGGTACACTCCTTGGCATGGAAAGGACAATATCCGTACGCAGTCCGAAAAGATCTCCAAGATGTACTTTTCTTCAAATCTGAATAGAGAAGGCGACTGTCTGAATTTATTTCGGCAAGTAGAACTAATTTATCAGTGATTTCAATTATGCCGACTGTGACCCACTGACCTATGGCCGTCCCACAGGTGCCTCCTCAGCCGCTGCACCTCGGCGTCAGTGTAGTTGAACACCCGCGCCGTCTCCGGGTGCTGGAACGCCCGCCAGTGGTCGACGATACTTCTGCTAGAATTGCTCACTCGCTCCTGTAGAAACCAGCCTATCCTGCAGAAAGGTTCGTCCCGGTAGCGGTCAGGGTCAGCGAGTAAACGGAACGATGGAGGACGGGAAGAAAAGGCAAGACAGGCGCGAGATAGAGAACAAGGAAGCGGTGCGGTAGGATATGTACTGTGCAGTATGCAACTGCAAGTTGCAACATACTGGAAACGAAAGGAAGCTCCGAGTGCTGCAAAACTCTATTTGATACTTCATGGCTCAAAGAGATATGTGTGCACCTAAGCTAAGCAAATGAAATGTATCTCGGGAACCAGGAATATCAAATATAGGGAATATTTTGACACAATGCCTATCATCATGACATAAGACGGTAAAATCTTGATCGCCACACAAACTTAAAAAAAAAAAAATACAAGCCAACCATACCCTATATGAAGCATGACAACCATATGACAACCATATGACAACTATATAAAGTACACGCATGCACACTGCACGCTGCCCACACACATCATGGCGGTACACTTTACCCTGGGCGCAACAAGCACGCACCAGTCACCACCGATGCAAGCTCTGGCGGACCATGCCCGGCGAACCAAGCCGCATCTACACTATATTCGGTGTCTGTGTACTGACCTGGTTTCGGGCCCCAGCCGGCCGGCATAGAGCACGTTGTAGTGAGCCCAGAAGTCGAGGTCGTAGCTGGCCGGCGTCCAGGCCTGCAGGTTGATCAGAGCACTCGGGATGTGACATGGCGGGCTGAAGGTCTTGCTGTCACAGGTTTGATCCTGACAGGCTAAGTTCTCCCTGAAAAATCACAGATGGGAGATATGTTCTTGGTTAGGTGTTTGTTCACAACATCTTCGTTCAGTGCACTTCTAGCTTTTTGTTAACCCGCGCCCGGCTGGGGGTCCTGGATTTCCACGCCCTGCTAGAGGAGGGTGTTTGAACACACACACACACACACACTTCTTACTCGGCTGCTGGGCCACGTAGCGATACGCGGAAGGCGGCGTTCAAAATAGCGCCAAAAATAATGACGAAACCACCTATACCACTTTTTTGGTCACGTCAAACGTCAGGTCCCCAGAGGTCATTGAAGGCAAAATTTCGCCGATATTCAGGTCGAATGTTGACAATCCAAGAAGCCAACTGATATGTCGGAAACAAATAGAGCTGCAGCGCCGCGAAAAAGCGCATTGGATAGCCCTATTAACCCGCGCCCCGGTGGGGTCTGTTTATAACGCGACCTGGTGGGGGGGGGGCTATTTTTTGCCCCCCCTCGTATCTCCGAAACTACTTGACGGATCCTCAAAATTCAAACGGCGTTCGAAAGGCCTGTCAAATTTGTCGAGGGAAACCAAATTTCATTGACCTCGGGGTCACCGATGACGTCACAGGTCAGGTCAAAGATGACATGTTTCACCGTTCACGGGTCATCTAGGGAATGCGCTATAACAACGAGTAAAGCGCATTTTGTCGAAAATCAGCGATAGGGCGTCAGTTCTCTAGTACATATGTTGCTATTAGAGGTCACTGGTCATACCTGGTCAGGTCACAGGTCAGGTCACCAAAGGTCACCAAAGGTCACCACATGAACCTAACTTTACTAAGGTTGTGCGATGCATGTTTTATGGCCAATTTTTCATTTCCAACTCAATAGTGTTGGTTATAAGACTATCAGGTACGGCTTAGGTCACTTTCTGGTGAAGGTCAGGTCAAGGTCAGGTCAAGAAAGGTCAAATTTTAAAGTTGATAGTTTTGCATAAAATGGGTATTGATTCGATGCAGCTCGTCACGAGGAGTCTAATGGTGGTCTTTGTTTTGCGCTACGGGGTCTAGAATCGCTAAAAATTGAGTTTGAAAATTTGACGTCATCAATTTTGAACAGTTTTTTCGCTATAACTTCGCCAAAAAATGAGGTATCAATCTCAAATTTGGTATGTGGATAGAAGGCGGTAAGGACTATCATATATATTCCGGTTTTTGCGAAACTCCAAAAACTTTTTGGATTTTTCGGTTATTATATTCAAAAAATCTATTTTTTGATTTTTGGGGGTCAAAATCCAAAAATTTCAAAAATCCGAGATAGCAGTTTTGTAGCCCTGTCAATTTTACATCTTTTATGTCTTTATCGTTTTTCTGTATTTGCAAAGCTATAGGCCTGACAGCTCTTCCCGCGAAACCCTTTTTTTGGTCGAAAACGGCAGAACATGACGTCACTCTGACGTCATTTCCAGCCAACCTATCATAGCCTTTGGAAAAATTTTTGGTCACAATGTGTAAAATTGATGTCCGAGAGGGTACTGAAAGTTTGGTGGCGATCGGCGCAGCGGTTCTGGAGATATATCGAAAAGTCTGGAGGGGGGGCAAAAAATAGCCCCCCCCCACCAGGGCGCGGGTTAACGTTCTTATCATTAATCTCAGATTTGACCTAGCGTCAACGGTTTTGCCGCCTGCAGGGGGCAAAAAGTGCCAAAATAGGAGACTTTTTCGGAAACAGTTTTTCTGCAATAACGGCTTTTGACTCGAGCCCTGCACGAGCTTGCTTTTACCGGCATCGTGTTCCTCTCGTCAAGACACATCGAATCAACTATAATTTGACCTTGAAAGGTCAAATTCAAAATTTGACCTCAGGTCAAAGTCATGACCTGACCCGAAAGGGTCATGTTCCATAATAGTCGATCCGTATCGTCGATCTGAACACAACCAACACGTTTTCATCGCTCTAGCGTGCCTCTATCAAAAGTTAGGTATTCGCGAACAACTGTTTAACACCATTCGTGACCTGATATGAACTCAAGGGCATAAACAGGGGTCACAGGTGTCATTTTCATCTTCAGTGTGTCAAAGTTACTTGTACTTCAGTGTTTGAGAGTGTTTATCAAGCAGCTTTCGTCCAAAAGGGGCGCCTCTCAATTTTCTCCCATTGACTTAAATGGGGAGGTCGCAAAATTGACCTGACCTTAGGTCATCGATATCAGAATTCCGAGATAATTTTTTTTTTATACATACTGTTTCTCTTACCAATCACTGAAAGTTTCAAAGCCATAGGGCACTCGGTGTACATAGCTATGGCAGACATTGAAACTTTAATGAGGTGCGGTCACTTGAAGTACCCTAGTGGCCTAACCGTGAACGACCTCGGTCTGAAACTTTCACAATATGTGTATGAATCGATTTATGATAAGGTGTGCAAAAAACCACGGGGGAGTTTAAACCCCCCGCAGGGCACGGGTTAATGCTGTCAAAATCAGCTCAGGGTTATGGGTTGGTTGGCTTATGAGTCGCCCATGCTCTGATGAGACCATCAATTTATTTATTTATTTAGCTCGTGGTGGGTTCTTTTTCCGGTCGCTATCATGAGTGATATGACAAAAAAAAACTTGTGAACCAAACAAGAAAAAAAATAAAATAAATGAATAAACAAATAACTATAAAAATAGCGATAAATGGATTAATAATAGAAAGCAAAAAGATGCTCCACACAATTGCAAGATACACACACTTGCAATATACATGTATTGCATATATTTGACAACCACTAAGTTTTGTGAACTCAATGTCGTAAATAATGAAAAGGCAGCGGTGTTCCAAAATCAATAAAGCCGGCGTCAAAACAGTCGATTCAGCACATTCATACCATTCACCTTAAAGCCTTTCAGAAAACTGATCGGCATAAACTTACCGCACAAAAAAGCAGCTTCATCAAAGTTGTGGTGCGTAAGCGTGGCACAGTGTATAGGGTCATAAATGTCCAGCATGATCGTTAATAGGCGAAACCGAGCGATGTATAGACCGATGATCAGTGGATGAATTTCCCGACTGTGCGAATAGTGCGAATAGTCTTTTTAATAGCGCACAGACTCGCCTGAGCCAGTTTTCAGCTACCACTGGGCGAAGAAGGACAGAAGCTTCTGGACGCCCTGAGGACCTTCGCTCGGCGCCCAGGATGGCACCGCTACGGAGAGCGCTGCGCTACCTCGTGAGACTCACTCTAGTGGCCGTGCTGGTTGGCCTGGTGGGTCAGCAGGTTTGGCTGTACCTTTCGGAGCCCCTGCATACGACCGTCTGGCGCGGGCGAGCCCCCTTCCCGCGGCTCACCATTTGCCCGCAACATCCCGCGCGCATAGCTTACCTAATCCCGTCTCTCAGCTTGCTGGGCAACGGCTCGATCAGTGTCACCGAGTTCTACCACAGAGTTACCACGAATCTGCGCGAAGAAGCGGGATCCGTTGAATATAAAGGAAGGAGCAGGTCCTTTTCGATAGATGATGCTGATATTGGCGTGTGGAGAGAGTTATTCTATTGGAAGGGAGTGTCTGGCTCAGATCTGGGGTATATTCGTTGCATAACCTTCATACCGAACAAGAAAATGAACGATCGCGGCAGACGTGAACACAGCTTTCAAGTGGACATTCACGAGGCTACTCTCTTCAAGACTCCTTCTGGACAGATTTCCTACCGACTGTTTGTACATGGAGAGGACGTGCCCAACGTCGGCGACCTCCCGGATTGGGCGCCGTTCACGGAGAACGTCCCACTCATCTCCGGCAAGAACGTCCACTACTCCATCACCGCACGTCGCACGGAGCGGGTTAGCGCGCGCCGGCGACCTTGCTCGTCCCAGCCCCGATACTCGGTGACACAGTGTCTGAAGGAGTGCCTGTGGAGGAGGCAGGTGGAGTACTCGGGCTGCCAGCTGCCGCACATGGTCCCACCTGGAGTGTTTCTACCGAGGGTCGGCGGCTTCATAGACAACCTGCCACTCTGTTCGAAATTGCTGGGCGACGGGAGGCCGATTTCACCGCTAAGAGGTAGAACTAGTAGACATCCATGCATTGAACAAAACAAGTCGCTGAATATTTCACATCTGTTTGAAGACTATCTTCAGTATGTAAACAGCAAACAGCCTTCGAATCAGCCTTTGACCTCCGAAAGAAATATGACGAATTCGTCCGTCTTCAATCATAACAGACAGATGACCAAGAAAGACGTTCCAGCCTCATCAATTCAACGCTTGACAGTACCAGTTAAACCACCACCACTGCCGCCGCCGCCACCTCCTCCACCAGTGAACATCTCACTTCCATCGGGTGTTTTCAAAAGAATTCCGACGGACGCACTCCACCTAATTTCCAGCAGCTGCGACTGTCCACTAGCCTGCCACCAGACCGAGTACACTCTGACAAGGAAGAACACCGACGACCAAGAGGGATGGAACACGTGCATGGCTTTCGTCTCGTTGACGTTTGATTTCACTGAGGAAATCAAGGTAGAGAAATTTGCGATGTCACTGGCGGACTTGCTGGCAAGTATCGGAGGGCTCATGGGACTTTTCACGGGCATTTCGCTATTCACATTCGCTTCCTGCATTGAAGCGTCCATGGATTTGCTTTGTGATAGAATGAAGACGTGGAGAAAGCTTCCACATAAGACCAATGCTAAAAATCATCGAATTGTAACAATTCACGTATCTGGTGCAGACCATCCGCGTATAATCCCTTGAAGCCTGCCAAGAAGGGAAACTGGGTATCTCTAGGCCCGCATTTATTATCGAATACCCGTATGTGACTCATGTATCGTAGCTTATGTTGGTGCTGGCTTGTGTATTGTATGTAGTTGTGCACAGCTTTTGCAATTAGTTGATGTAAATTATGTGCTTGTCGCGTACTTCTACTTCCCGCGGGTAGTCTCACATGGCAGTACTCACCGTTGACAGTCTAGCAAGTGCCAGTCTGCAATTACCAAGGGCAGTCTGACATGACAGTCTGCACGTACCGCGGACAGTCTAGCGAGTGACAGTCTGCAGTTACCGAGGGCAGTCTGACATGCCAGTCTGTACTCACCGCAGACAGTGTGACATGACAGTCTGCACTTACCGAGGGCAGTCTGACATGCCAGTCTGTACTTACCGCGGACAGTCTGACATGACAGTCTGTGCTCAACGCGGGCAGTCTGACACATGATAGTCTGTACTTACCGCGGGCAGTCTGAACATGACAGTCTGTACTTACCGCGGGCAGTCTGACACATGACAGTCTGTACTTACCACGGGATGTCTGGCATAGCACTTGGCAGTTGGCAATCTATACTTACCGCGGACAGTCTGACATGACAGTCAGGTAGTCATCCATGGAGAATCGGTCGGGTAGCAGCACCAGACTGGTGTTACGGTATCCGTACATCTCCCGTAGAAACAGTTTGAACACCCAGGCGATGAGCAGCGAGCCGGGCCTGTCGGAGACCTGTAGACGGATGTCGAGCGGGTCGCCCATCCAGTCCAGACCTCGGGAGAGAGACTCTGAAACGAACAGACCGACACCACTGACTCACAGCAGGACAGGTGAGCGAGCGCGCTGCGGGCCGTGCAGTGATGCTCAACTGTAGCCAATAATACATTACACAGGTGTTGCCAATGTAAGTAAAATTATAAGTAGATTGTTAGTGACTTGCCAGAACTTTTATAATTTCGATCGGGCTCGATCTATAGTCGCGTCAGCGTTGCAACCACATGACATCCGCAACAGGTGGATATCAAAGTCAAACGCAACCATAGGAATTCACGGACCGAAGTGACAAACATGGAGGCCTATTGAGTTGCTCCGCGCCCGTCCCCCTCCACCAATAATTGTGGCGCCACCAGACTGTTTGCCATACTGCCACGTGGGGCCCTCCATGTCTCGCCAGGCGCCCGAGTGGGCATTTGACCAGAGATTTAGAGCGTGCCTGTCTCTCATGGCGCCTGTCGCGCTAACCTAAACACTCGGTCACCCCGACGGGACGACTAGATGCTTTCTGCCTCCCCTACCCCTCCTCTCCCCGCTGAACCCTCTCAGTCTGAGGTCTGAGTTTGGAGTTTGAGCTTCCTCGCTCCCTGCAGGCGCAGCTGGCTATCGTCTCCTCCACCAGCCCCTCACCAGACACCATGGTGACAGGACAGAAAGGTTTTTGCGAGCCAATTGAAATGCCCAGTCAGCTGCTGATCGGACGCACCAGACAGCCCATCCAGTAGCGTGTCAAAGAACTTTGAACGGATAAATCAGCACCGCTTCAGTATCCATAGCCAACCAATCGCTTGGCCAAATCGTCACAATCTTTTGCTAGCTATTGCAGTTGAATAACAGACCACTCGTCCTGCCTGCTGACTGAGCTGCTGAGTGCTGCTGCTGAGTACTGCTGCTGAGAGTATAGATTTATTTAGTAAATTAGAAAGTAAATTTGCTAAAATCTAGATGTTGTCCAGCTCGCCTGCAGAAAACGACAGAACTCTGGTCGGAATCGATCCCGCAGTCCCAGCGCAGCGTCCGATTATTCCGAAGCAAGCATACAAGAGAACACCTCTCTCGGCAGGATAGATGCTAAAAAGAACGGATACAAGAATACGCATTAGCATTACGCGGATGCGGCAAAGTCATAAACAATGCCCGACGGCGCCGGCGGAGGTGATCATTACGTCTGAGGCCAGGCGGTCTCCGGTAAATTCGAGGCATCCGGCCAGGCAGGGCGGGCGCCGGGAGCGAGCGCCAAGGCCAGCCAATGCTTCTAAGTCTATGACGTCACCCATGGCGTCACAGTTACGATGACGTCACTCCTCTGGGTCGTTGGCGTGGGAAGTGCCGAGCGGCACCGATCGACGGTCTGATGATAAAAGCGGCGCTCACACAGACAAGTTACTTGTAGCGTGACGGTGTGAACTCTCTTTGAATCGTGAGGGGCTGAGTTTTGCTGTATGCATCTTGCCTAACTCACCTGGCTGGTCGGTCATGCATCTCTCTAGTTCCGCGGTGGTGACGGGCGATACGAAAAGCACCGCCACGATCACCAGGAGTGGCACCAGGAGTGGCACCAGCCGCCGAGCCGCGCCGACGGAGGGCGTCATCACGCGGCTCCAGTTTCTCCAGCTAGACCATGACGAGCTTCATTGGCCGAGCCGCTGAGGACCGGCATCGCTGAGGACACAGACATACGACACCGGTGAGAACACAGAGGACACGTAGAAAACGTGCTGGTGAACACATGGCCCGAGCGAAAGGTCACAGTGGACACATTCTCCAAGCGTTAGAGCACAGTGGTCACGACGACCGAACGCCAGGACACACACTACACAGTGGGAACATGGTCCGAGCAAAAAACATTTAAATGAACAATGAACATAAAGGAACGGCTGATGTCATGTAGGTACATACGTACACTACATAGGTATTGAGCACCGGTAAGAACACAGAGGACACATCACACCGGTGAAGGCGGAGCATTGCACAGTCGTACTTTTATCGAGCATAAGGAAACGCGTGCCCAAGGGTGGAATATAAGGACGCAACTGACACATAAGCGGAGCAGGATGCGTTAGACACACCCACACGGTAAGAAACAAACAGGGCAAAGTTTACAATCGAGTAAATAAGACACGGTCAGCGGTCCGTGATGACACAGTAATTTTACGGACACTAAGGGGCACATAGGTATCGCGGAGCCGGACACCGAAGGCGCTAACAGCGGTCTAGGAACAAACTCACTACGGACACATATGTACATTGCTGAGGACACAGGGCACACACGAGTGGAGCGTATAGACATGGTACGAGTGCTGGGTACGGGGTGCTCGTTTCAGAAACGCTCGGGACTACTTCCCAGTTCTACTTTTAAAAGACTCGAAGCAAGTTCGGCAATGCGGAATATGCCTAACGAAAATAGTTCCCAATCGTCTGAGCGTTTGTCGAAGTTCTCTAGGCCTCAGAAAATGTTCCCCAGCTCATGAGCAAAAGCAGCCAGTCTGTTGATCCAAATTGGTGGGCGCACTCAATGCTTTTAGACTGATGAGGTCGCCAATACACTCACATTGGTCGGTGTGCCTGGAAGAAATCCGATTTCACCCGCGAGTTGCTGGGGGGGGGGGGCGTTAAACGCCCCCACTTTTTTCGCCGGGCCATAGCATAAAAACGGCGCGCCGCAGGCGCGCCAAATTTTGGGTACCTGTAGGGAATTGATTGAAGTTTATTGTGTCAAAGTTTCAAAAAAAAAATCGGTCGGGAAAATTTTTGAGATATCGAGGTTTTAGTGACGTCATGATTTCTGAGTTTTCGACCAAAAACGGCATATGTTCAAAAAATCATATAAAATCACAGAATAGACATATAAACATGCCGTCAACGCCATTAGACTGCCAATACCATGAAAAATCAAATGGCTATCTTCGATTATTGATTATCGTTCCGAATTTTCCAAAATCTTGAACTGAATCTTGGCAATTTCTCGTGACTCCTTCACGACCATGATACATGAATTTCTTAAATTGAACTTTTTTAGCCACCATCGTGTTCTACGCCCCAAATTACCCATAAAACATGTGTCACAGGCTGCGAATATCAGTTTTTATTTTCGGGGATATGTGCCTGCCCGGTTGACCTGACCTTGGCCCTGACCTATGCTTGACTGACCCCTACATGGAGCTGACACTCTTGTAGGCCTTATATGATGGATTGTGCACCGTTTTGACAGAGTTTATGACGAGAGGCGCCCATTGCGAAGTCCTGAAGTCCATGCTACTGAAAGCCCGATTTCAGGTGTTTGACCTGACCTTGACCTGACCTGTGACCTCAAAATTCAACTTTAAAGTACTCATCTGAAGCGTCTCGTCGCGTTCTTTCGTTTGCCGCCTCGTCCGTTTCGCTGCGCCTATTGATTCTCGAGTTATCGGCTGGGGGCGTTTAACGCCCCCCCCCCCCCCCAGCAAACGGTGGGTGGCGAAATACCCCAGCAACTGCCGGGTTAACCAGAATGATATGTCGTGTGCACATAGTCTCGACAACTTTTAAGCTCCGGAGTACTGAAATTCCGAAGAAAACAGAAAATTGAAAACAGTAAAAAAAAACGCAAAGGAACGATTATATTCTTCCATTGCACACGGGCATTGAAAGACCAACAGCCGTAGCTGCAAACTTGAGCGTTGGACATCAAAAAACATCCTGTCGACGCGGCATGAACAATAAAACCACCCACTGAATACAGCGACCTTTGTTCGATGTACCCTATAACCCCTCTAACGTGATATGAATTACTATGACATGAATTTAGTATGAGCTAGATATGGGCCCGGAGATGACGCGTTACATCCCAATAGGCGGATCTAGTAGTCGAGTTGTGCAGTGGGGACGACAGGCGGTTTTTACGGAGCGAGCGAAGCGAGCGGAGTCTTACGTAGAATAACGGAAATTTCTGAGTATGAGCGGCCGGCCGGCCGGCCGTGCGGACGCTTTTGCGAGGCTTATATCTCAGCAACCACTTGACCGATTTACACGCGGTAATTTTTGTAGGGTAGCTTCATTCCTTCTACCAAGTATTGGACTATTCCCGATGCTGGGTGACCCCTTATGCACGTGCCACGTGCAAAACGAAGAGGTGTCAGTTTTGTAATTGTTGCAATATCTCGGTAACTACTTGGCCGATTGCGCTGAAAGTTGGCATGTAGGTAGGCACCCACTAGGCACTGCATATCCATGTGCCAGAGTTGGGGTGCTGCTGCACGTGCGCACGTGCAGGGGTCGTTTCCAGGTCTCGAGAACGGCTGGACCGATTGCGCTCAAATTTGGTACACGGTTAGGGACCAGTTAGTAGGGTGCCGTGCACAAGTCAGTTGAGACCCATTTTGCACGTGCGCGCGTGCAGGGTGCCGCTCCCAGATCTCGAGAACGGCTGGGCCGATTGTGCTCAAATTTGGCACATCGCTAGAGACCGGTCAGTAGGGTGCCGTGCACAAGTCAGTTGGAGGTACCCCCTCGAAATTTCGCACGTGCAAGACTCGCCCCCTCGCTCGCTCCGTTAGTCGCCCCAAAAGGCGCTATACTGGTTTATTTGTATTCTCACCGCTAGATGTCATCAGGTCAGTAGGTATCCCACTCATTGCTTTATTAAATATGGTGCAGCCTCATGGCATTGTGCCAGTTTCTCTTCGAATTTGTCACTGTTGATCCTTCATTCGTAGTGAAGGATTGTAACAAAAACACATTTACCCTCACTCTCAGCTACATCCGACCTATAACAGTGCCAAGATGGAAAACAACGGCACATGGGGGCCTCTGCCCGCCTCTGTGACGGTCTGGTCTGTGGGCACAGCGCCAGAAAGGCATCTCATCTGATTCACAACATGGCTAGAGCAGCCATTCTATTTACACGCTCACGGTCAAACGGCCAGACAGAACGCTCCGGTCTAGACTTCATACGGTTCGGGGTGATTGGAACCATGAGTACGAAGCTACATGGCCAACGGGACATGCTAGACAGTCTTGTGCGTGTGTTAAAATGTGCTAATACGTTCATGAAAATGCAAAGCATATAACTGAACTATCGCTGGTCGATAAACTTCAGGATGCATGGTGAACAGTTGTTGGTATAACGACGTTCGATTCAGTCTTTGTGACGTTCTGTTTAAAGTTTGGCCTGGAGTTGTGTTTGATCAAGACGACCTCAGGCCACTGGGTTCAGTGTCAGAGCGTCTGGGCCCCGGCAGCGCGCTGGGAACCATGATGGTAAGTGACATCGCCCGGCGTGTTTGGCTACGATCACACTGTGTGAGCCGAGAGTAACATGGCGTATCTGTATTACCAACGCTGTTATCGTGTGTGCAGTGCGATATGAGGATGTGTCATATTGGTTACCAGCAAATGTGATTGTTTGCCTGAGCTACATTATCAGGGTGAAGAACAAAACACGTATAGGTAGGCTTTCATAAAGATGTGTACGATTCGCAATATTGCAGTTCTACTTAATTAGTTACTTTGTTGCCTGTATATAATAACGGAGAATTTCCCGGTTCATTGTCAAACGACATCAAGGAATTACGAAGCATCAATAATTTTTAAAGACCAACACCAATAGCACTTTATCTGGGAGAATGTAACGACCACGATGGCATCAAACAGTGGTTCGCTAACTGAAAAAGTTTGGCGAATAACTATCTCTCACTAGCCCGTCCGGCCACTCGTAAGGAGCTAAGATGCATAATCATAATGAATGGGCTATTTCCATCTTTTGTAAATGCAAACAGGCACATGTATTTACAAGGTGTGCATTATCTGCAAAATGTACACCCTCGAAAATGTGCATTGCCTTGTCAATGCCACAGCAAAACAAAATATAACGATAATAACGAAAAGGTGATGCATTCAAGATGTTTCAAAGGTGACATGAACACAAAAAAGCAGTTGAACCTTTTTAGTTCGGCGTCCCATGGCCTACAGCTTTTCGAGAGCCGACCTCCTCAATGAAGGGGCTTGATGAGTCCCATGCAGCGGTCAACGACCCTGACCGACACAACGCCACGGCGCCGTACCAAATCCCGGCGGGCCGTGCCGAGAACGGCCGTTCGATTTCAGCCGGCCGGGCCGTATTTTTCGGTCGGCATTCCTCTGACGCAGCCGGTTGGCCGCCGTCCAGGCCAAGTCAGGCCTGTCCCGGCGGCGCCGGCCACTTTTCGGACGAGGTGTGTGACGTAGGCGCGTCCTCAGCACTACACTGTAAACCAAATTGACAAGTCTTGTGTAATATAACCAATCATCTCTTGGTATGTTTACCAACTGATACTTTTCAAACAAGCCGTTGTCTGGTGCATTGCTTGTCAGATGACAACTACGAGTCAATAGTTACTATGCACACCAACTTCTCAGTATCCAGACTAACTCTACATTTGTTTCAACGTTTGTTTCTTAACCAGTTTTGGAAACTTGTTGCCGCATGGTTATTTAACCGGCGCCTAACTTGTACTGGTCAGCTGGTCAGCATACACATGGTCAGCTGCGCCCGTGACGTCAGACTTGGCGGACCAATCAGCGGTCGCCGTCCGGCCCCGGCGCGGCGGTTTCAAACCGTTCAAACCAGCAGTTGTCGCGCGGCCGCCGTGCAGCATGGATCAGCGACGAGGGCTGTCGTAGCGCCCAGACTGCGGCCAGCGGCG